GCCGCTGCCCGGTGCCAGAGTGGGTCCTTGACCTCCGCTGGCTGTGCCTGGCGACCTACCCTAGCTGCAGCGCCGGCCCAGCGCGGCGAGCCGACTGCGCCGGGAGGCGGGCAGTCTCGTCAGGGTTGACTGGGTTTGTAGCCGGCCGATGTCAACATCGGGGTGCTGCAGAGGTCATCGCCCCCCTCCTGGTCAGACCAGGGTCACCGACCGGTCACTGGAGGGGGGAAGGGGGCTGGGGAACAGGTGTACCGCATGGCTGGAGTTGGAATGAACAGTGAGCAATGCTTTGGGCAGTTGGTGGCGGGACGGTGAACCGATCTCCAACAGCCACTAGTGATACAGTAAGTACTCTCTTGTCACTACCTGCCCCTCAGAGGCTATAGGGCTGACCTTTGGTGGTCAGACCTTGTCGCTTTGTGGTCGGGGATAGAGGTAGCTCACTCAATTCTAGCAGCGTGATGAATTTAAATAGAGCAAATAGCCACTTTTAGGGCCCCATGAATCCTCGTAATGATGCGAAAACTGATGGTGACTGTTATCATAAATATGCCCCTGACTTGGGTTTACCCAAAGTTAAACATGTGGCAGATTAGACATTGCACTTTTGCCGACGCTTATGCACTGTCATTGTCGGGACTTGGCGATCTCCAAAACAATTTGTTTCTTTTGTCACGTAAGCAAAGTGGCTGCATTCACATTAGGTAACCTTTGCTCTCTACGTGACTAACTAATGTTTTTACCGTGTCATTATTGACTTGTGCCCACCGGCGTCGTGCGGGGCTTTGTCAGCCCTTTCTCAGACTCGCATTACCGCCGCACGATTAGTTCCTATGTCGCCGCTCTCGACACCAGGAAACGCGGGCCTTTGACCGGCTGTGTCTCGTTATGAGCGCTCTCGGCGGGTTTCACATGCTCCGTAATTGACTTACCGGCGCACGAGCTTGTCTGATTAATCAGCCGCCGAGTTAGTGTCTCGCGTTCCCACCGTTGGGGGCGGACTCGGTGGTTTCTTTGTCACCCAACCGTTGGCGTTCCTCGTGCATTTCTCAGTCCGCTGCTGCCGCCTGCTCCTTCTGCATGACACACAGTGTCGAGCTGAGCTGTTCGCCGGTCCAAGTCGTGCTCGGCGGATACGTGAACACATGTGGCGCCGGACATTGTCGTAAATGTCTGACCGGACAGGGGTGGCGGGTGGACGTGGGACAGGGAGGTGTACGAGGCTGCTGACAGACGGAGAACTATGCGAGTATGAGTACCAGCGGCGCACCTATTACGGGCTGTCCGCTGTCCGCTTCTGTCCGCTGTTCAACTGAGCCACACCTATCGAGTCACCATGGAGTTCCAAGAAATCTGTGGGATTCCGTATAGCTTTCCTTATTCGAGAACTCCCTTCGCGCTTGCGTTTCAGTGATTCTCTCTCAAAGATAACAAACCGTTAACGCTGAACGACTGTTGGCTCATTTTGGAAGCCGACGAACCAACATCATTAACGAAGTAAATTACCTTGGAAAGCGATACCCACCCGTGAATGGCCAAGCTGCTATCACTCTCATCAGATTACCGTACTCTGCTCTGGCCTCGAGGGCCGAATCGGGTGCCTTGGAGCCGAATCTGGTGCCTCTGGTCCGTACAGGCCGCTCTGTTCCGCCCCACGGCGCGTCCATCTCACACCGAGCTATGAGGAAGCGGCGCCGCGCCGCGCCGGTGCGGCGGTACCTCCGTCACGCTGGTGCCTCTCGCTGCCTCGCGTCGGCTCCCGTCGTCGCCTCGCGCGACTGGTAATCGTGGGACTCGGAGCCACCGTCGGTGGACGCCTGTGTACTGCCAGTGGATAGCGGACGGAGGCGACAGGCGCCAGTCCGTGGGGTAATCGTAGGACAACCCTGTTACGAGGTCCGGACGACGGTGTTCCGTCCAGTTAGTCGGATATTGACGACCGTCCGCCGCTGCGCCTCTGGGTTTCTGGGTCGGACTCCCCGGTCCAATGGTGATGACCGATTACGTCTGATCGGACAGGGGATGGATCACTGACTGACGGGTAATTGACTGTTTACCGTTCTGGCTAATGTGATGAAGATATTGCTTCGACGTCTAACTGGATTCTTGGATGTGGCTGGACAAACATTTTCTCGGCTTGCTTCCTATGCTCTTAGTATTTGTAATGCGAGGTAATTTTAATAACGCGTCAGCCTGTCCCGTTCGTAGTGTAACCCAGACGTTTTCTGCCACCCTCGCTGGTATCCGAGGCTGCACACTCGCTCCCCCAGCCCTCATATTTGCGGTGCGGGCGGCGGACAACAGGTGCCGTCACCGTCTCCCGTTATCCACTGAAGCGGCCGGCCGCCCCGACGGCAGATGGTGCGGGTCTACGGCCCCCGAGGGACCACACGGCGGACCAGCCGCACACGGCCGGACGCCGGTGCCAGGACAGATCGGATTTATGTGCGAAAGGGACTGGACTGGTCTGCAGAACACGTATTCAGACTTAGTCGCCTGGGGCTCTGGGTCATGGGAAGGGTAGCATAGCAGGACCGAAGCCATCGGGGAGGAACACCTGCCTGCTGGACACTAAACGTCTTGGTCTTCTCGGTGCTGTTTTAGCGTTGAATGCAGGTAGAGTTAATAGACTAGCTTCAATTTTGGATATATGGGGCTTTTATCAGACGGAAGTATTCGGATTACCGAGCAAAGCATGTCAAGAAAAGTAAGTCAGTGGACGATCTCACTAGCATAACGGCCATTTCTCAAGGAAATCACCAATCGTCTGCCACGCATGATGCGTCTTTCTGAGAGCTTCAGCCACCTTCACGGCTGCCCTATTCTACCTTCTCTCGTCCCGCTTCTGACTTCTCTCCGCGCTGTCCACCTCATGAGCCGATGACCCTTGACGAGACCAGCGGCTGTCACGGCCGGCTTTACTGCCGACTGACAGCGGTCACAGCCACGCACGAACGCGCTGTCCCCGGCTCCGAGGCGGGAAGAACAGGCGGCGCGTGGGGAAGATATTTCTATTTATAGTCACCGTGGATATTTCTTTCTCTGGTCCACCGTCACGGAGAGCGAGATACAGACGGTGACCAGTGACTAGTGGAAGTTAGAAACTCAGAGAGAGACTAACTGGTTGACCGATGGAACTTACATGACAGGATGCTCTCCGGTGATTGGTGAAGTGGAATACAGCTTGTGATATGCCTGACAGCTATGCGCTGGCCAATGGCCATGTACTTGATAGGGGTACGACATTTGACGAAAATGGATGGAGCTCGGATGATTCTTCAATCATTGAGGGTAGAATATGCCACATTTCCCCCATGCTGTCAGAATTATATTTAATAGCACATTTGTATCGCCAGTGTGTATAAACCGCGCTGTAAACTAAAATCAAAGTCACGGTTGTAAACTGAGTCACAATGTCGTAAGGCTTGTCACGACTGCCTCCCCTTGCCGTGCGATTTAATGTGACTTTGACTACATTCACTGTTCAGGGCTCAGGCACGATTTTGTGGCCAAAGTTCATTCATGTCTTTGTAGCGCTGAAATCGTGTGCAATGCAATGCAAAACTGACCGGATATTTGTTATGAGCAAACCAGAGCTTTTGACATCTCACAATCTCTGTCGATGGTGGTGGACAGCGAGCGCGCCGGTCTCACGGAATTTTCCGGGTTATTATATTGGGGCTGCTGGTGCCTGTTAGTTGATCATATGCGGAAACGTCTATTGGTGGCGCGCCGGCTCTTGGGAAGTCTACTCTCGCTTCCGCATGTGCCCGTAGGCTTGACGGCAAACCGCACGTGTGGATGGCTCTCACTCTAGTTTACTGACTGCATCGCAGCTTTTTGAATCTGATCTGGGCGTGTGTCCAACTCTTACTTCGCCGTCGGTCCACCACTACCCCCCCCCCCCTCTGTCTGCCTCGCGCCCGCCGTCGTCGGCGCCGGCCCCGCACCTGTTCTGTCCATCCGGTGGCCACAAAAACACCCACCCCGGTCGGGCGAGCATCCGGCGGCTAAGGCCAGTGGTCAGCCCGGCGCCGTGGTCGCCAGTAGCTGCTCATAACACCGGGCGGTCCACCGACCGGCGCGGCGGGCGCCGGCCAGACGCCGGCCACTGACCACTGCACGGAGCCGGCCCCGCTCCGCCCCCGCCCCCGCCCCATAACCGTACGGAGTCCGGCGCATGGACGGCTGGCGCGGCAGTAATGGGGAGTAGTAGGCGGGGTGGTCTATTGAATACACTGGGTTCTGGACAGAAAGGAGAATCGTGAAGTTAGTTAGATGGATACAAAGATGCGTATCGCGCGTTTCAGCATTTCCATACCTCGAGACGGTTTCTGCACAAGGGTTAATCGTTTCAATCCAGCTCTCCTCATGAATAGCAGACCTGTTTGATAGTTTTCTGAGCCTGCCGCCGGCCAGCAACGCACCAAGGCCACTGATTCGTTGACCTGTGACCTCTGAGGTGACCGGGTCGTGACCCCGGTGCCCGGTGATCTGGCGTGCCCCGCCCTCCTCCATCGATGGTATCGGTTAACGAGCCGATCTAATAGAGCTGTGGTCTTAATGGTCCAGTTTCGTAATGTAATATCGGCTAAGTGAGGTAGTTCATAGATTGTGGGCAAGACTGCCCCTATGTGATCATGTGTGGCAAGGGCTAGCTAGGGCATTTTGTGTGAAGCTGATTACAATAACGAAGTCTTGAGCTGGATTATAAATCAAGCAAAGTATTTTTCTATCCAATATATTGAGCGTTTCTATATCGATATATCTAACAGTGTATCGTCTTCGCACGCGGACGTGACAGTCGCAATTTTCCATGTCTCGTGCCATAGAAAGTATCATTGTGCGCGGCTCCGTTTGCGCTGTGCTGCGCTATTTCCGACGTTCACTCGTGCGTTATCATTCGGCCATCTCCCGATGTACCGTTCCGTTTCGCTGCCGCCCGTCCCTTCCAGCCATTCCCACCGGTCCCGACTAATCCTCGTCGTAAATTCAGTGGCCACACAACGGGACGTTTATTGGTTCATAGCTGAGCAGTTTCCCGGTGTGTTTCACCAGAATGATAACATCGCACGTCACTGGACCAATGCCGTGACGTGACAGGACCGGACAGCGTCACACGGGTGTGACGTTACGCGGGGAACACGGTTAGCATCACAGTCGGCTCCGGCATGTTCCGACCCTCTCAGACATCAGCTGCTGATGTCACCCCACAACTTCTCCCTCACATCACTGAGATTATCTCGCCAATCCCTCGCACCTGGACGGCATTCTTTCACTCACCTATCCCAAACATCCAGCATTTTTGTTTACAAAATCATCATACAGCACAACACATTCGTTCACCTACCCTAAACAATCGACATTTTATACAGCATAATCACATAACATAAATACAAAACAACGGCATCGCTGTTGACGATCGGACATTACACGGCGAGTTTGAAATGACCGAATATGGCTGCAAATAGAACCACCGAGCTGCCCTGGCCCAGGGTCACAGTTTATCGCTGTCTCGCTGCTCGGGGGGGGGGGGGCTGTATCAGGCCTTAGGCCGCTTCTGAATATGGAGTGTACCGGAGTTTGACGGGCTCACGAACGACCGGCACTAAGACATTCTTATGAGGCCTGTAGCATGATCGCCACTCCGGTGCTGCCCCGCATTGTCCGGGCGGCGAGATACGGGACGACTCACACAGCCGCCACCGCTGCCGCCCGCGGGGCGCGCACTCCTCACTCGCTCACTCGCTCACTCGCACACTCACATCACGGTCCAGCGCGGTCCGGCACTTAGCGACTGTCTGAGACACACTCCGATCAGCCGATCTGATTTCGTCACTCGAGGCACGCGGTTCCTGTCCCCTACGATGCCACTAGCTCCGAGTTTCTTCTGTGGTGTAATCGACCACTCCGACCACGCCACCCGGGATGACTTGCCAGGGTGTGTTCTGGTGACGGGCGCTGGGATTAAACACCTCTTCGTGTGTCGGCATTTCTGAGACATCCAGCTACTTCGGAGAGTTACTGGACGCTATCGCTCCTGGTCCTAGACCTCGCCAACACCGAGTCCCCAGATCTCGACTGCGCCCTGTTCTCAGCTCGATGAGGTTGTGCTCTCACTCATAGCTGGACGCGGCTGTGTCCTCAGACCTGCTGGACGCCTTGACCTCAGACCTGTTCGACGCCTTTATCTCGGGGATATGTTCGATATCGTGCTCTCAGAGCTGGACGAGGTTGGCCTTCATAGCTGAACGAGGTTGTGCCCGCCGTTGCGCGCGGTGGCGTTGGCCGCCATGTAGATGTCCATGTCGTGGTCGGTCCAGCCGTCCGTGTCGTCGGTGAACTGACTGGAGAGCCGGGACGTGCTCCGGTCACGGGACATGGACTGCCGCCGGCTGCGGCGCCGGTCGCCGCCCCCGCCACCGCCCCCGCCTCCGCCCCCGCCGAAACCGGACGCCAGAGATGTGCGCGAGGCTCGCAGCTCTGAAACGGAACAGACGGAACAGGGTTAGAACCAAACCACAAAACAGTATTGAGTATATAATGTGAAAAACCACATGCAGTGAAAATGTGGACTAAAATAGTGAAAATACAAAGGAAAATTGTGTTGCATTGAAATAACGCTGTTATATAGAATCTCTTCAAACGAACAATGTTACTTGAAGCAGAGCATTAGAAGCGTAGTAGCGTATTGCATTATTAGAACGCTGTTTTTGGTTAACACTTCTTTCTGACTACAAATGTCTTTGACTCAAATATCACAAATATCATAGCAGCGCCGGGTAAAGAAGCAGCATGCAAGATGGTAGCGGGGAGATTCGTGCTAACGATAGAAAGACGGACAGACGATCAGAGAGACGGACGGACAGACAGACAGAGAGGCAAGGGTGTGGGGTGGACGTCACATACCTATCACCGGCGCGGTCCCGGCGCGCTACAGGGGAATGTCATGCTGAGAGCTGTACAGGTCACTAAGTAAGGCATCTTGCCACAAGCTCCCCGACGAACACACCGAACCTACCAGAACAGAACAGACGAGAGGCGGCCGTCAGTGGATGATGGCAGTGCTAAGCGAGCGCTTCAAGTTAGACAATTTTGGCTTTCTCTTTTATAGTATTTTTTTCTTCAGCAAATCAAGCATACGCACTATGGTTGCTTGAAATACCATAAGATGCACTTGATGCAAGCAAAACGAGTCGGATCATTAATTTTGAGTTAGTGGATATTATTTCGATTAACCTCCTGTACAGAGCACACGTTTTTCTCAAGGGCAAAAGATTAGCTAGCTCAGGTGTTGCTCTTGAGCTTCATGCATTCAAGCTTCAAGCTAGCCTTAATTTTCTTTGAGCATATCTATATCTCATTGCTAGATGACGTTGCAACTAGCAAACGTCAATCAGACCATACTTCTCGCCAGTGGAACTGGATTGTCTCAGTATATGACACAAAGCGGTTACGTCCGGCTGCTACCGGTTTCCTCAGCCTGTGATTGGCCCCTTCACTGACCTGGCCGGGGCAGCGCGAGGCCGTGACCTCCGCCGTGTGTGGAGAAGTGGCCCGACATGGCCGAGTAGCTGCGCAGAGACTGACCGTCGGCCAGGCTGCGCCTCCGCCACGAGCTCCTCGAGACCTGCGAGCGCGCGTCGTCCGGCAAGAAGTCCCGGTTTGAGGTGCCTGTGGTGCGTCAGAGAGAAATGGTCAGCTCGGGGGTCTGCCAGGGTGGGTATTGCCTTGGTATTACCGACTGCGTATTGTGCTAAGAGGCCTGGACATACAGAACTTGAAGTTCAAAACTTTGACACGCTCCAAAAGGACATGGTGACATTTCAAATCTGTCCTTGACTATCGCAGGTACATCTCTACCACCCACCATTTACCCTCACTGCCGTTCGTCACTCACCCTTTCCGTCCATATGGTACATCCTGGCCCTGGGGATGCTGCGGTGGCTGTACATGGACAGCTGGTCCCAGTCCTTGGCGCCGCGCAGTGTGCCGATGCTGGCCAGAGGCGGCGCCGGCGTGTTCGCCAGCACTGCCGGCAGTGGATCCTTCCGTTCGCGGCCGCGCCGTCGGTTGCAGCAGATGAACACGATGACGGCGATGACAATGGTGCCGCAGATGGCCGCACTCGCCGCGATCACAAACGTGTCCATGTGCGTGGGCGCGGCGGCGTCCGTGCGGATCTCGCGACACTGCCGCTGCGGCACCGTCTCTGGAGAGATGTCGATGTCCTCCAGAGACACAACGCACACGACGATGCATTCCTGTGACGGCACGTTCTTGATTTTGAACTCCTTTTCGGACGGCGCCAGCGGCGGACCCTGCTTGAAGACGTCGTCGCCGAAGAGGCGGTACACCACTCGGAAGCCGAGGATGTTGGGGACATCCGACTCCCACTGTATGACTACGGCGCTGCCGCGGCGGTACGCGTCCTGCACCCGCACCTCCTCGGCTGCCTGGCCGGTGCGCGAGGCTGCTCCGCCGAACGCCGACTCGGGCTTGAAGATGAGGCTGGGCCGGGCGGTGGGCGCGGCGGCCGCCACTACGGGCGCCTCGGAGGAGGGCGCGCGCCGGTACGGCGGCTGGGTGTACACCGGCCGGAAGGTGGTCGCCTCGGGACGCCGGGTGATCTGCACCTCGGCCGTCGGACGGCGCGTCGGCGGCGTCGGCTGCGGCGTGGTGTCGACGGGTGCAGCGGGGGCGGCGGTGGGTCGTGGCGCCGGCGGACGGGGCCGCGCGATGCGACGTCGCTCGGTGGTTCGCCGACGCTCGGTCGTCGTCTCCTGAGATGTGGACGGCGGTCGGCGCTCGGTGGTGGTGGTCTCGGCCACACAGACAAACTCTGAGGAGAGCGGGCGGAGTGGGTTAGGACGTCGAACGGACCAGACGCCGGGGTGCCGTCCCGGCTCGGTGATTCTGTTTGATGGATGACGCGCCGTGACCGGCACAGTCAACGGTGCGTCCCCGACCATAATAGGCATCCCACGATTTAAAAGCCCGCAAGTGGCGGTGTTGCGTTCACGGTTTATCGGCTGCGTTTATCAGAGCCGCAAAGCGTGACACTGGGGCCTGTTGGAGCGTTATATGCCTGTCACCTGGCTCGTCAGTGATTGATTTTAATTTGTTTAGGAAATCGCAATGGATCTAGTTTGAAAGAAAAAAATTGAATATCGAAAATGCATGGACTGATTTAAGTACGACAAAATGCTTTTCATTCGATTCTGTTCACATCTCGCACAAAGAAGAGGTAAACAAGGAACATTCAAGTCGTTTTCCACTTTCATCACCGTATACCATGCTTATAAACCTCTACCTAGATAGATATCCCGTCAGCTACCCCGTCCAAACCTACCTTCGACGTTGAGCTGGTAGAAGGTCCGGTCGCGGAAGTCAGGCGGGCTGCCGCAGAACTGCGGGTTCCGCTCGCGGCTGGTGACCTGCAGGTCGGCGTCGCGGATCCACTGGGCGATCCAGCGCACGCGGCAGTCGCACGTCAGGAAGCGGCCGCCCAGGCTGAGGCCGCGCAGCGTGGAGCGCAGGTGGCTGAACGCCGCCTCCGGCAGTGTGGCCAGCGGGTTCCCGTCGAGCGCCAGCAGCGTGAGCGACGTCATCGACTTGAGACAGTTGTCCGGCAGCTCGGTCAGCAGGTTGAAGCCGATGTCGAGCACCTGCCGAGACGTGGGACATGAGACTCGGCTGTAATAGCGCGGGTGTACGGATGAGAGACGCGATTATGATGGTGGTGTGCTTCTTGGCCAAAATTTAGCATTCCTAAACACGATGACCAATTGGAACTCTCATGGCTGTTTTGTGTAAATAGCTGATGCATCACAACCGGAATTGGGATTTTAGGAACAGTTCCAGTCGGTGCTTTCAGTCCTAGGCGCGACTGGGCGAGGTCCGAGAAGCCCGCTGAAGCAGCGCCGTCTCTGTTACGGCTGATCGATCGTCCGGTCGTCACGGGTGATCGGGTTTGCAGAGCTCACCGGCCGACGCCGATCCGTTATGCAGACAGCGGCCAGTCATGCGCGCCGAGTTTTGCGCGCAGAGGTGGAATTTCTGCGCGTTAGAGTCGTGACTGCGTCCCAGACGTGTGAGAAGGAAAATGGCGCGACGCTTCTCATTTCTGTCGTGAGTCTGCACAGGAAACATTGCCGCATGCCTCGACCCGAAGTTTTGATATGTTCTGTATTTCACGTACTTTGCTAGAGATACGCGCGTTTCCGTTTCGGTGAAATTCTTTTTCGTTTATTGTGTCAATTTTCTATTAAGCGCCAAAATGAGCTTTATTTGGTGAAATGTGCAAAACGTCTTACACGTGTATTTGCTGTGCAATTTATTTACAACTTTTGACGCTGTTGCGTAGGCTAGAGAGTACCTTTTTCGTAGGCTCCCCAAATAAGTACCCAAACCCCCGTTCATAAAAAGTACTCACCCTAAGTCGCCCCATGATCCTCATGGCGTCGGTCGGAAAGTCGGCGATCAGGTTATTCAGCAGGCTGAGCGAACTGAGCGTGTCGTTCACGCCCCGGAAGACGGTCGGTTCCAACACCTGGATCAGGTTCCGCTCCAGGTTGAGCGCCGTCAGAGATCCCATGCCGGCGAAGGCGGCTGTGGGGAGCTGGGTGATGCTGTTCTGGGCCAGGTCCAGGAAGGCGAGGCTGGAGAGGCTGTTGACACCCTCGGGCAGCGAGCGTAGTCCGGTGCCCTTCAGGTTCAGGTTCTTCAGCGACTTGTCGAGCCCGGAGAAGGCGCCGCCGCTGAGGGTGAGGTTGTTGTCGGCCAACTTCAACGTCTGCAGCGAGAGCGTCTTGAAGGCGCCGTCGGCGACGTACTCGATCCGGTTCTTGGATAGGTCCAGCAGCTCGAGTCGCTTCAGCTTCTGAAGTGCTTCGGTGGGCACGTCTGTCAGACCGTTGGACGCCAGGTTGAGGTTGCGCAGCCGTGACTCCAGGCCGGCGAACGCGCCCGGCGCGATGGCCTCAAGGTCGCAGTCGGAGAACTGGATGTTCTGCACGGGGATGTTGGCGAACACGTTGCTGGGCAGACTGCGGATGGTGCTGTTGGTGACGTACAGCAGGTCCAGCTCCTGGTTGGGTACGGCGGCCCGCAGCGCGCCCAGCAGCCGGCTGAAGTCGACGAACTGGCACTGCACGGAGAGAGCGGCTCCGGCGGGCCGCGCGCACACGCAGGAGCCGTGCAGGTCGGCCATATCCCTCGGCCAGGGGCACTGGGCGCGGCCGGAGGAGGCGGCAGCCAGCACCAGCAGCGCGGCTATCACCGGTCTCCGCATCGTGACGGCTGAAACGGACAGAGAGACGGGTCAGGAGCAGCGCCGGAGACCCCGCGGTATTCCGTGACAGACTGGGACACAGAGCTGAGATCGAACTCCGCCGTGAGCATTAGTCATTGATCATTAGTCACAGTGTTCATAGTATAACCACATTCGTACTCCGGGTCACGTTGAGTCATGGATCAGGAGTTTTGTGGCAGGGGAAGTTCGTTTCTAAAGATGGCACATCATCTGTGCAGCATCCCTAGCCTCGGTGTTCCGTGTCGGTTTGTCACATCCTGCATTGACCTTACTAATGACCCCACCGGTACCGGACCGGTCTCTACATATGGACCGAGGACCAGGACCTGGACCGGTGTCCGGATGGGGACCGGGTCCGGACCAGTTGTCGCCACCCTCCCGTGCCCCTAATTAGTGGGTTATTGGGTCAGGCAGCTAATGACCCACGATGGCACGCACGGGACAACGATATGAAGACGCCGTTTTTACGAATGACTAGGCCTGAAGTGGTTGTTTTGTGCTCGACATTATTATTTCAGATGCCTTTCATATAATCTTCTTTCTATATCGATTTTAAGACTAGTGATTAACCCTGCTGATGCATTGATTCCGTCCAGTTACAAAAGTTACGTGATTTAAATATTTATGTTCACATGAAGTAAATCGTCACCTTGCGGCCAAACATTCTGTCGCCGCTGGTTCATGCCGTCAGCGCGAACAATGCTATCGTGCCCACATCTCTTCCGTCAACACTGACTCCCGCGCAGGGCCTTTTTCCCATGACACGCTCGGGTGCTCGGTGTCCAGCGTTACCGCCGTATTCAGACAATTATCCGACGCTGTGACGGCCGGCCCCGTTACATTCCCGGTCCCGCTCACGTGCCCGCTATCCGGTAATTGCCAAATCGAATGCCTTTGATCGACGGTATGTCAAGGGATTGGTAGTCTTCCTTTGTGGACGGATCGGTGAATGGCTTTATGGTGGCCGGTGATTGGCTCATATCGTGACGAATGCGCGGCTCTGAGACGACTGCCGTCTGTTAGCAGCTCCGGTCTGTTCGGACGGAAAGCCGTTATTCACTTTGTTCCTTACACCGAGTGTGTTATCCATTTGGTTCCGGTCATTCCATTTTCTATTTTATCTCGTCGTTTCACATCCTTTCTCGGCTTACCCCACCACTGCGCAATTTCCCTGCACTCATCTCATTCTGCCTAATCTTGATCCAAATGTTTCTGTTCTTTCTCCTATCCTGCTTATCATAATAATCATAAACCAAATTAAACCGCCAGAACCAGGGCTGCATATCTCCGGACGCAGCACACATGAAGGTACGGTTTATACCTTTGTATCTCGGCTCCTCGGCGTCAGTACGGTTAGCTCCGACCACTGCGCTGGCCGGTCACGGCCCGGTGCCCGCGGTGTGACCGGACCCGTACGGACAGACGGACGGAGCGGCGCGAGCTGGCCGGTCAACGACCGCCGCCTCCTCTGCCACCGCCGCGGCGGAGATGCCAGAACTGGCTCGGGCTGGCTGGCGGAGCGGGTGCGGTAGCTAAAAAGGGATGAGAGCTGGAGCTAGATGGATAACTAAACGAACGTGACTTGGTTGATAAGGTCATGTGTTTTTTGAGGTTTCCAAGCACGTCTGTCCGATTTGTAACATTTGGTATTACGTAGCAGTTCAAACTAGTTTTGAGAAGTGCTGGTCCACTTTCCCCATCTCCCGAACTATTTCCTCATCTTCTTTTCACTTTCGTTTGTCCATGTCGTCCTTATCTGTTCCTATCACTATGCCCACGATGTAGAGTACGTGATGCCTTTCAGCCATCTCTGCGTCCCTCTGTTGAACGCATCGTCGCGCCTGGAACCGGAATTAGAGACATGCAAAGTTAATTATTGCACAATGAACACCAATTGGTGTTTTCGTTGTCTTTTATGTATTTACGACCTTGGTTTCACACCGAAGTAGAATCTGCGGAAACGGAAATTGAGTAACATGTGGAATATAAAGATGTTCGCCACAACACCGGAATATCTGCTTTCTGAAACACTGACCGATTTGCTTTGATAACGCTTCGATTGGACGATAAAGTTACCGAAAGACACTCGAGTCATTCACACTCGAGACGCTACCAATCCATACCAATATGAAGCGCTTACACCCTAAACCATTAGATGAACCCCAGACGTCAGTGACGCGTTAGCGCACCATTCCTCACACCACTAAGTAGCGGGCCGGGTCATGTGAGGCGCCGGAGATCCGACAGGCAGGTGTTAGCCGAGATGGAGCCTCCCATTACTGGCCCGAGGCCGGCTGTGGTCGGCCCGGTCCGATCCATCCTGGGCCAGTTCCGTCCGCATTCGTCCAGCCGATAGCCCGTCACACGGGTGATCTTTTATATAAAACAGTTATTTTTTAAGGCCACCTGAGAGATGATTAAGAAAAACCGCTGCTTCACGTTTTTACAAAACCATTGTAGCATCATGAGCTGTCCGATGTTACAACTTGGAACTTATTGCCCAACCCACGAGTATCTTATCAACAGCTCAGGACATAGCGACCCAGTCCGTCTATCCCAGCTGGGTCGGATCAGCCCCGCTAATTTCCTCCGCGCCTCAGTCACTCGGTCAGTGTGTGCCCGTCATGCGGCGCCGCTTCCTGCCTCTGTCCCGCTACCCGGGCTGATTTGTCTGGTGGCCGCCGGCGGCGAATCTGACGCACAGCGGCGATTCTGACGCGCAGCGGCGCGTGTCACTCGCGCTCGTCGTGACGCGCCGCAAACGTCGACGGAAGCGCGCGCGTCGGGATTGCCACTTCCGACAGAACCGTAAGCGGCGCACCGTGCGGCGATTGCCGGCTGGATGGCCGATGGACGCTGAGTGGACGATGATGTGATGTGGCCGACAAATGATCGTGTCGGTGGCGATGACATCGTCTTTTGAACCGGGATGATTATGGGAGAACTTCGTAAGGTAGACAGGATGTAGCAGACTATGTCAAATGCGGCATGATGAGCAAACTAACCATCTGACTGAACACTGATGCGTTTTCCGTCAACGGCCTAAAGGATGGATTACCTAGCAGACTGACGGCGGGCTATTCTTTTCCAACCAACAAGAACACCCACCACATTTGACTGACAAGCAACATTCTGGCGCGCCGACCTAGTTAGCTTTGGATGAATGATGAAGTAACGAGCGTCTCTCATACGTTGGCTAGCTTCCAGCTTCAGCTCATAGACCACAAAGACCACACCTCGCCAGACCAGGCCTCGCCCCGCCAGACCGCTCAGTCTTCTGACTGACACGGTCGGTAACCGACCGAGACAGGCCCGTGTGGCCGAGACAGCTGACCAACAGAGCAGCGTCAGCCGGCGCCGCGTAATGATGGGAGAACGACAGCCGCCAGTGCCGAGTTATGGGGTAGTAATGCCGGTAATGGTCCCCGTCTCGGCGGAGAACGAGAGACGCGTGGGAGACACCGACACGGATGCTGTGCAAAATTTAGTGTGTGGATGCTGTCTAATTTGCTTGTAAATGGATGCCGTTTTTAACTTTCACAGACCACATGGTCAATGCATATTCAGATGCTGTGATGCCAGCGATTGTCGAATTTCGAGTTTCGTTGGACCGTATCGTTGCAGTCTCTTCTGGCAAACATCTGGCAGCTTCTTCCTGTTACCAGTCAGAGCCTCGTTGAATATTCTGACGGAGTTGAGCAAGACGCTGGAACAGTCGCTTCCTGACTGATGAATGTTCTGCCGAAAATCACGGATAAGTCTATGACCTTGCCCCTTTCGGCTGTTTTTCGTCTCGCTGCGCTGCGGCTGCCTCCGTCTCATTCTCCGGTAGCTGCGGCAGTCTCCGGCAGCTGCGGCAGTCTCCGGCAGCTCCGGCTCACGGCCGAGGCCGCCTCGGGCCGTGTCACTGACCCGCCGCTGACGCCATCTGGTCGGGCGGCCAGCTGACGGGCCTCCCTCCCTCCCTCCCTCCTTCCCCCCTCTCTCTCTCTCTGGACGGAGTCCCTCTGCCCCTCCCACGCACCCAGCAGAGGCCAGGAGCAGACTCTCAGTTTCGGCGACCGCCGCCACCACCGCCCAACAACTCTCATCAATACTTCATCAGCCCTCCGCTGCCGTTTTCAGTCCGAACGCCGCCTTCTCCGTCGCAGCTCTTCGACACACCGCGAACAATGACACGACTTTACACAGTTACGCCACTAACGGGGCTCCGAACAGCCTCCTGTTTTATGGAAAAGCCGACTCACAATCGCACTATTTGGCAGTTAGGCGAGCCGCCCGACTGAGTCGGCCGGTATGCTGCCAGCCGGCGACCTCTGTCGCTGTTTAGCATATATGCAGGGACACAGGGCCTCCGTTTGCCAGTGACGTAAGAGGAACGTCGAATGGCCGAGATTCCACCGAATCCTTAACGTTTTGCCCGCCTCTTGCCGTCTCAAAAGTGAACGAACTGTGACCTAGTTGAAATGGAAGCCTGCTGAAAATGCATGGAAAATATCACAGCGTCTATCTCCGTGCACCGTTTGCGACCTCGAACCCGCGCTGCGTCAGCCACGAGGCGAAGAACGGCCTCACAGAGAGCCCGGTCCGTCTGGAGGCCGGCCGCATTGTACTGACACGGGTCGTGACCGGGCGCGCTGCGGGCCGATTTGCTCGTGCGGCAGCCGGCTGGTCGCTGACCGAACCAACGCTGCACGGCGTGTTGAGAAACGCACGCAGACGCGTTCCGACGGACAGTGACTGTCGATTTCTGTGCACTGTAATTGACTTGGGGTTACCTGAGGTCACCAGAGGCTCCGAGAGGTCACCTCAGGTCACCAGAGGTCACCACGACTTGTCGTCAATGACTGCCGCATTTGCCACCCGCCGAGGCATGTGCAACACTCGAGTATGCTATTCCGTGGCCGTGACCATTGTCAGGACTATGGCTCGGCTTTTAGCGCTGGGTATTTCAGTAACGAGATGCACGGCGATTGAGAGCGATCTTAGCGATCTTATCTCAGAGGTCGTGCAAAAAGTCGATCAGACTGCCGGCGCCAATAGGGTGCGTCGGAGTGACGGCTGAGCTGTGATGGCCGCGGGCGATGCTCAGCCCTGGCCCCCCAAATGAGAGGAGTCGGATGGGTGCGGCGAAGGTCGTACCCCGGGTCGGCTGGCACCGCTGAGAAGGTGTGTGTCGAACACCGTGCTAACTCCCGAGCGGCGAATTGGCGATCCCACACGGCACTGTCTCGGCGGGATAAAGCTTTATGGGATGGTCCCTGGCTATGGTACTTGTGCCCATCAGTCAGCTGCCTTGACCTCGAAAGATCGGCGACTTAACCCTCGCCCGTAAACGGCGATCTGCCACCTTCGCCCATGCAGGGGGGGGGGGGTTGGTGCGACCCCCCCCCCCTTGGCGTTTGAAAACGGAGCGTCGTAGAGCTTAGCGGAAAAGACCAACGGATTGCTCTCGCCGAGATCTCGCGATTGGTGGTATATTTTTTGGTCCTAGGTCAACATTTGACCTACTTTTGACCGGTCAAAGGTCAAATTTTCGGAAAAATAGACTTTTTTCAACTTTCCGCGGCGATTGCGGCGAAACGGTTGGAGATATCGACTTGAAACCTTCACTATCGTGTTCCTTGATCAATTCTCTATCGTTTGGTATGTATTTCGTTTCCCTAGCTCTAAAAATGGCGCGTTGGGAGCGCCGGAAGTCGGCAAGGTCACAGTCGGCGGCAGAAATTCGAAAAATAAAAATTTAAATTTTTGAAATCTGATTGTATTTTTGGATTTGGGAGGTCCATTTGCTCCCTATAGAAGCTAATATTGCTGCATATTCCCACTGAGGTGACAAGAATTAGCAAAATAGTGGTTCGGGCGCTTTTCAAAAATAGTACCGGACGCTGTTCCTCTTGTGACGTCATAGCTCCGTGACCTGACCTGACCCGGTCAAGTTTCTTATGCCATATGATAGCCAATACTTGCCCCAACATGCATGGGAAGTTTCATCACGATCCATCAACCGATCTCCGTACCACCGGCAGGAAACCTCGGGCGTTGGCACTCAGTTTGTGAAAATCCGGCCGGAGGCTGTTCCCTTTGTGACGTCATAACTCCGTGACCTGACATGACCCGGTCAAATTTTTTTTATCAAAAGATGCGCAAGGTTTGCCCCATAAGGTACCCAAAATTTGGCGGCGCTGCGCGCCGCCGTTTTTGCACTATTTCCGAAAAACCTCAGGGGGGGTTGCACCAACCCCCCCCCCCCTACATGGGCGAGGGTTAAGCGTCGTCAGCATCCGAACAAGGTGCCATGTCCCGGTGCCCGACCTGGTATGCAGAATGCAGCCTCCTCTTCTGTCGCGGTGAGAGACAGCTCTGCCCTGAACCGTACCACTCGCACCAGCGCGGCGCGGCAGGCGGGTGTTGGCGGTGTCGAGCCGCGAGGATGTGGTCGCCTCTTGCGCAACACTGCGAGCTCTTAAACGCTCCGAAAGCTGACTTCCGGAAAGTGATGCCAATTACTGACGATTGCCCGACAAGGCCGTTGTTAATCTGAACTATGACCTGCCTAGCTATACCCGCTCAAGGTGTAATAACATCGTGCCAAGTCTTTTCACGAAGCTAGCAATTGCGACCGGGTTTTAAAGCCGTATGAGCGTGTGGGGAGTATGAATAATAGCCGTGTTTGTGAACCTGCATTCGGTAGCAGCAGTGGAGCCTGCACCCTCCCAGTGCTCTAATGCAGTGTGCGGATCAAATGAGAGTGGGTGAGAACGCATCAGCATGACTCAGGTGCGGAAATGGGTCGCCGAGTCACCAAGTCAACGAGTCAACGAATCACCGAGTCATTGACCGCCGATCACCGGAAGGTCGTCCGAACTTGGCCGACCGCTCGCGGTGAGACATCCGGTCGGAGACAGCGGAGCCACGTGACGATTCCGGTAAACGACCGGCGCCTCAGCGATGACCTATCGAGACCCGCGGTCAGTCGGACAGGTCACTGCGGTCGACACAACCACTGCCAGTGTGCTGTCGTCCCCGATATCCGCCGTCGCCGACGCTCCGTCGAGAGCAGTGACCGACTCACTCCGGCGTGGAGATGGGAACGCGCCGCCGAGGAGACGGCTGCATGGTTTTTCTGCCGACCGTAGGTGGTCGATGAGCTGTCGTGAAACGGTGCCGTGTGGAGACGGGGAGGGATGCGCTGCGCTCACTCCCGGATTCAGAGGATGACAGCGGAGTGAGGGGTCACCGGCGGAAGGAGGGGAGGGTAGAGGTCGGGCCGGACACTTCCCGCTGTCACGCCGCTCCACAGGAGACGCCGCTGTCCGGTCACGAACGGTGTGATCGGACCTCACGGTGTGGACCTGACGGTACATCGGCGAATCACTCTTTGAACCCGGTGAGTGCAGTCTTTGCTGGCGGATGTCAAGGAGTACTAGAAACGTAACTGGAGTTAGCTAACTCGAGTTTACGAGAACGTCGGAAAGGATATCAGACAATGGTCTCGATTTGTCGGATCGGAAGAGATGAGTGAGCCTTCACAGACATGGTAGAGAGAGAGAGAGAGGGGGAAAGGGAGGAAGGGAGGGAGAGAGAGAGAGAGAGGGAGAGAGAGAGAGGGAGAGAGAGAGAGAAAGAGAGAGAGAGAGAGAGAGAGAGAGAGAGAGAGAGGGGGGAGAGGGAGAGAGGCAGTCGACTCCCGCCGCACGGACGCCGCCTGTTCCGGCGTGTGGCGGTGTTTTTATACGGCCAGAGGTGAAGGCCCTTGCGGTCCGACATGCCTGCGGCTGGGGCTGGACACGAGGCAGTCTGGCCCCAGGGGAGAGCGAAGCGTCCTCCTGACAGCAGGTGTACAGTTATTATAGTCCCGGCCTGCGGCGGGGCAGATACGTCCGATAATTTCCGGTAGGGAGTTCGGACGGCGGTTCGTTTCGTTCGGATCTGAGGTGATTTAGGGACTGGGTGGTTTCAGCTTTCCGCGCTAGCCTTGTTTCTTGACCACGAAACTGTAAGAATGGTATACTATTAACATTGGACACCTCGGCGATAAGTGATCACGAAGGGAGGTGCCCCGGCTCGGGACGCTGGGATCGGTGCCGGTTTCTCGGCTCTCACGGTCGGCGCGGCACTGCCGCTGGAAAGCTGGCCACGGTTACATCATGACGACCCGGCAGCACCGGGCACCTCCCACCACCCAGCGAGTCCGCGTCGCCGCCGCGGTCGGGCTGGGTGCCTTTCGCTGGCACGGGCCAACGGCGGAGTTCACAAGTTACAGGTCTCACACCTGACTCTGACTCTCAAGGGCTTTAAGTTCTCATGTTCATGTTCTTAAATTCTTAACTTCTCAAGTTATCAAGTTAGCAGCACCACTGGCTCTCTCCTGTTGCGTGGCCGCGAACTCACTCGAGAGTCAAATCACTCGAGTCAAATTCGAGAGAAGTAATTCTCTCGAATTTGACTCCTGACTCACGATGGGTTTTTGACTTTCCACTTATGACTCATAACCGAGGACATTTGACAGAGCTGCCCATTTCCTGCTGCTAGGTCTGTGTTCAACCAGACTCCTAACTCTATTGTCTGACTCCGGCCTTACACCCGAGCGATGCTACTATCTCCTTCGGGTCACAGACAGTCCTTTACGACCTGACGGCTAATGTCAGCCACCTGCCATCTGGCTGTCCCGTGGGCTAATGCATCTCTCTGGGCTTTCTGGAGTCTGACAGAGACTGCGTGTGCAGCAACTGTCGTTGAGATAGCTCGTTCAGCTCTTTTCCGAGATACTGGTGTGACTGAGCGGGGAGATCGGTGCGCCTTTGGTCGACATAGGAAGCTTCTCTGGGATGGCTGAACCTGCCGATTGGTATTCTATGCTTGAATGGAGCGATGCTAATTCTGTACGACGATCGCTTTCCCTGAATTATATCATCGGCCTTCATGGGTTAAACCCGATGGGCTCACTCCTAGAGGAAGAAGCTATTTGTGACTCCACGTTTCTCAGGCGATTCTCAGGCTCAATTTCTTGAGTTTTAATTTTTATGTCAGCACCACCCGTAGCTCGTGTTCCGTGGCCGCTGGCCGTGAACTCACCTGGTTTTGCTCCTCTGTCTCTCCGGGCTTTCTCTGTACTTCCGTGTCTGTGTTAACGGCTTCGGGAGCGTCTCTCACTGCTGACACATGACCTACCGACCACGTGACCGCACTGACCAGTCGCCACGCGCGCCGTCCGTACCTGAGCGCCGTTCACCGTAAACTGGCCGGCAGGTCGACCGCCGCCTCCGCGCCGCCGCTGCCCAGGAGGCGGCCGACACCGCCGTGTGACGTCACATTGGTGATGTCGTCAGTCGGTGACGTCAGCGGCAGGTGATGGAGTGCCATGGTGAATCCGCACCACACGGCGACGCTGTGGGATGCTCTGGAGTTGGCTTCTTCTAAACGTAGAGGTGATGCTGGTGAATGCTGATGACAATGAACTATGAAGGGAAGTGAGACGAAGGTGTCGGTATAGTTACTGGATAATGCGTTCTTCAGCTATGTACTTATGATGGTGATTCTCAGACTTCGAGTCTATCTCTTCATGGTTCTTCAATTTATCCTTCCTAAATGTTTGCATTTATTCTATGTTTGATGGCGTACGAGTTGTCGTATTGCTATTAGACTTTCTAGATTCATAAAACACATCTTTCCGTATGATCTCTGCTCCGTGGAACTGTGACGTCACCGACATCACCTTGGCATTGCCACGCTGAAACCTGATTAGTCATTAATTTTCCCGTTGCCAAATATCTGGAAATAACAGTAGCATCGTCCTCGCATGAAGATCGGTCGCTGTTTCCTGTCGTCAGACACATCCGGTATGTCGCGTGCGCTCGACCCTCTGCACGTGCTCGCGTTTCTGACATGACCAATCACCCCACGTGCTCGCATTTGAGGTATGACCAATGCTGCGTGCCATGGGCAGGACAGTCGGTCCGTGTTCACAGGAAAGGATGCTCGCTGCCTCGTATGACCGAATTTGGTGGGCTGTATGGTTACGATCTGTTTCATTGTAGCTGCGTATGGGAAGTTACTCCTCTTGCCGAAGTAATAAAATATCTGCTGAGATGTGTGTTAAGACAACTGAATCGCATTCCCATGGTGCACGTTTTCGAATTAAAAGCCGTTGGCACCCAGTATCAAACATGGCGCCAATCTGGGTTTGTATTGCTTTTTTAAATGAGAATCATCCTTGGACCGTGCCGATCTATGGATTGCAGTTCGAATTATCCCCTCAGAGGTAGTCCGTCTACTAAACTTTGCCTATTAACTATCTTATCTGATTTATTGTGTTTTAACTGAATACGCATGAACTCTTTATTCCGTTTTCCTCCTCATGATATAAAGCTGTCTGTTTTTGCTTGTGTAACCATTGCTCCATCGACTCCTTAACTGCGTCTGAAGCAACGCTTCGTGATTAGTTCGTTGCACTGTTGGTTGGGTCGTGATCCCCGGCGCTCTTTGTGTTTCTATCCCGAGACTGGGAATTTCTGGTCACCGTAGACCCGGATTCCGCCGCCGAAGGGTCAAGTCTGTCTGTAGGTGACTGTTCCGCCACTAAATGACGTATTTTCCTGGTCAGTGTACGGTGAGTTGTATGAGCGCTAACGCTAACAGCTCTGCGAGTGTTTCCGGAGCAGCGCCCTAACCTCATCGCTAGCTTCTTTGTCTGGAGAACATCGCGATTGCCTCGGGTCTTGTTCGTGATACGTTTGTGTTGCCGCTGATCTGTTTAGTCTGTTCTCCCCTCCACCCCTCCTCTGACTGTGCTGCTGTCCGGACCAAGTCTCCAAGATTGCAGCTGGGCCCCCTGACCAGAGTTGCACCTCCCCAGCCGGCCTCTCAGGTCAGAGCTGGGTCTCCCCTCTATCCGAACGCCACACGTGCGCCAGACAGGTGAATCATCCCCATACTCTGAAACCGTAATTAACATAGAACTGAGACCGGGGGAGACTGAGCTCAGAAAACAGCTCGGCGGTCGCTAACACCACGCTCCGAGGGCTGGGGGCCCCAACGACGCAGTGGGCACTATCCTGGACAGATAGCGGGGGGGGGGGGGGCGGCTGTGTGGGGAAGGGAAGCAGGTAGTGCCAGTGACGTCATCGAGTGGTCCACCGCCGTAATGGTTGTTATGCAAAGTAGTGTCGGGTTTTACGGCGTTAGCGGCGGGGTGCATTGAAAAACAACGATGAGTCAGAGCTGGTTAGACGCGCTGGCGCTGCGTGGTTTATGACACTGGCTTCATTCAGCTCTCTGAGTTTCCTGTGCGGAGGCGTCTGTTAAATTCAGATGCTTTGTCACGCAGTTTGTATTGTGTCGATGACTGATAGGCCCATGTTGAGTCGTTTTCCTATTACTCACCTCAGTCCCCTACTGAGAGCGGAATTCGAGTTTCGTCATTTTTGTTGGTGACAAAGTTATTCGACATTGGGATAGGCTATAGGGCCTTGTTTGTAAATCGTGACTAATATGGAGCACTGGAGCAGTGCGCGAGAATTACAGCAACTGTTTTTTTTTCCAATGAATTTTAATTTCTCTCAGCGACAATGACGTGAAACGATGACAGATTGATGTTGTCGAGGATTGATAACGCATATGATGGCCGGTGACCGGTGGGCGCAAGTGAAAATTTGTTGACATTTAGAACTATTGGAATTACGTTTGTGTGCAATAAGCACCAGGTCATGTGTACTTGTAGATTGTTTGTACTCGTATTTACCCTGTTGATGATTTTCATCGTTTACAGGGTGGAGGAGGGGAGTCCGAGCTACAATACATCGCTGCTCCATCAGAAGCTTCAGGTAAGCTGCCGAAAGTTATCCTAGTAAATGTGTTTAAAGGAAATAGTTCACTTTCACGAAATTATTTTTTTTGCAAGGGATTTATGATTATTTATGTTCAAAATGATCAGCAAAGAAAATAAAACCTTTTTATAACAAAAGATTATTTTCTATATTTTGATATAGGAAGAACTTTTCAGTTTCTGTAAGGCACACGCGATCCAGTATGAAAAGAGCATGGGTCCCGAAAATTCTTCAGAAACTAGAGAAATTATCGCGGCCACCGGCATTTGGGCGATCTGCTCGTGCTTTTGTTACTGGAGCGCCTCTTTCCCCGAGATTGCGCCGGCCGCCTGCCATGGACGAAAAATACACGACTTTGAAATCCGGCTGATCGTGGGAAAATACCGCCGGAGGTCTCGGCTATATGCAGGAATTCACCGGGATGTATAGTATATACCACTGCCTCGATGTATAGGCTATAGCCTGCAAGCTGGCTTTGGTGCAAACTGCAAACATGTCAAACATGGTATAGGGCGGATTGTCGATTGATGTAAGCGAATCAGACGTTCAATTGACAATTTCCGATTCTTATCCGTAGTTGCGGCGCCCGCCACGGGCGGCGCTGGCCCGGCGAGCGGCGGTGACCCGACCGCTCGCCGGGTCAGTCTGGACGCGTGCTAGTATATTGCGGATAAAAATTACGGCCAATTATATTTTATTTTAGGAAGTGTTATTAGGAGCGGAGCAATAAAATCTCATTTCTCCCCTGTCTCTTTACCTATCTCTCAAATCCCTTGCTCACTCATCTTTCCTCTCCATAGGCGGCGGAACGGGGAGGGCACCGGGGCACCGTCCCTCCCTTTGATTTTGGCATTTTAACATTAGCCCTATGGGCGTTGCATGGAAAGAATGGGACCAAAAGTTGGCAGTGCCCCCCCCCCTTAATTGAAGGTGTTCCGCCGCTACTGTTCCTCTCTGTAGGTATCAGTCTCCTTGCCGTCCTCCCTGAAGTCTCTGTTAGTCTTTTCCTTCATACTTATCCTCCTTTCTCTCACCACCCTCTCTCTTTCGCTCTCTCTCTCTCTCTCTCTCTCTCTCTCTCTCTCTCTCTCTCTCTCTCTCTCTCTCTCTCTCTCTCTCTCTCTCTCTCTCTCTCTCTCTCTTCTCTCTCAGTCTCTCTTTCTCTCTCAGTCTCTCTTTCTCTCTCAGTCTCTCTCTCTCTCTCTCTCTCTCTCTCTCTCTCTCTCTCTCTCTCTCTCTCTCTCTCTCTCTCTCTCTCTCTCTCTCTCTCTCTCTCTCTCTCCCTCTCTCCCTCTCTCTCTCTCTCTCAGTCTCTCTCTCTCTCTCTCTCTCTCTCTCTCTCTCTCTCTCTCTCTCTCTCTCTCTCTCTCTCTCTCTCTCTCTCTCAGTCTCTCTTTCTCTCTCAGTCTCTCTTTCTCTCTCAGTCTCTCTCTCTCTCTCTCTCTCTCTCTCTCTCTCTCTCTCTCTCTCTCTCTCTCTCTCTCTCTCTCTCTCTCTCTCTCTCTCTCTCTCTCTCCCCCTCTCTCTCTCTCTCAGTCTCTCTCTCTCAGTCTCTCTCTCTCTCTCTCTCTCTCTCTCTCTCTCTCTCTCTCTCTCTCTCTCTCTCTCTCTCTCTCTCTCTCTCTCTCTCTCTCTCTCTCTCTCAGTCTCTCAGTCTCTCCCTCCCTCTCTCTCTCTCTCTCTCTCTCTCTCTCTCTCTCTCTCTCTCTCTCTCTCTCTCTCTCTCTCTCTCTCTCTCTCTCTCTACCCGTCCGTCTGTCCATCTCTTTGTCCGTCTCTCCGTCCGTCCGTCCGCCCTTCCGTCTCTCAGTCCGTCCATCCATCCATCCGTCCGTTTCTCCATTCTCCGTCCGTCCGTCCATCCGTCTCTCCGTATGTTCGTCCGTCCGTCTGTCTCCCCAGACCCCATCCGCGAAATTTTGTGCTAGGTAGCATTGAGGCTGGAGGTTTGTATTTTCTATTTGTTTAATCGTCTAGTAGGGCAATGTGAGGGGGCAACAAACTAATATAAAAACATGGGCCAGGCACTGCGGATCCAGAAAGGCGACGCTGCGGGAAGTGCATACACTCAAAGAAGTCTCTCCAAATTCCAAAAACTGATCGAATTTGTATTCCTTACGCGTTACTGTGCACTTTAAAGCAAACTTTTCGTAATATAAGTTAAGTTTTCGTCTTATTCCTGAAACGAAAAGTAAATTTCCGTCGATTTCTGGCGCTGCCGGGTTATTTGTCCCAAAAACCCCCTCCTCCTGGATCTGCCAGTGGGGTATTGGCCCTGTTTCACCAGTGATAGCAGCACGCTGCATAGCTACGTTTGGAACAGAGTTGCTGTCTCGTTGAATGCCAGGGGCGTCTTTTTCTGAAAATGATTGGTAGGGCTCTAATGTTAATTTTCGCAACTTCAAAGCCATTCTTACCATGCAACTCCATAGGCATAATGTTAAAGTTTTTAAATTATTGGTAGGGCTCCGGCCCTACCAGGCCTATACATACAAAACGACACCCATGTTGAATGCGTTTGATACATTTGTTTGATCGCACGGCCGTGAAGATGTTAGCATGAATATTTCATGACATCACACAGTTTGACGACGCTATGGTTTGTTGATGTTTCCATGGAAACCCAATTTGACACGTGTAATAGCAGCGTGTTGCTATCACCGGTAAAACAGGGCCCAGGTGGCCTACCATTTTTTTTTTAGAAAAAAAAACTATCGTATCAGGCAGGGCTGCGGAGTCGGAGTCGGAGTCGGAGTCGGAGTCGGTCGGAGTCGACAGTTGTGACCGGAGTCGGAGTCGGAGTCGGAGTCGATTTTAGAAACCCGAGCCGGAGTTGGAGTCGGAGTCACCGAAAATCTGTCGACTCCGCAGCCCTGCTAGGTCTGCAGAGTCGGAGTCGGGAGTTGGAGTCGGTCGGAGTCGACAATGCTGCCCGGAGTCGGAGTCGGAGCTGGTTTTTTAAAGTCGGAGTCGGAGTCGGAGTCGGAGTCGCCGAAAATCCATCGACTCCGCAGCCCTGATCAGGGCTATGACGAAAAATAAGTGGCCTAAATCCGATGAGAAGACAGGATTTGGGGGTACCCTAGGAGTAGGTTTGGCTCCGTGACCTGGTATGCCCCCCCCCCCCGCGCTGAAACCCTGGATCCGCCAGTGCGTGAAATAATGCATTAAAGATTAAAGAACCATGCAAAGTTATCCCTTTTACCTTTTACTAGTTTTACTGGCAAGGGCGATAATGTTCCCCTGAATGTCCTTATTGATCAGTACGAGAATTTCTCTAGAGTTCTCGCAGATAATTTCTCTAGTTTCTGAAGAATTTTCGGTACCCATGCTCTTTTCATACTGGATGCAAATATATGCAAGGCACACATCCTCAACGCAAGACACCTTTTTCGGGACGAGAAATAGAATATCTTTGCCTAGGGTGATCGTTGGGCTGTAAAAGCTCCTGATTTATGCTCGTCTCAGCGCAAGCTACGGAACTGCTATTCCAGTTCAAAACCCATGTTAAAAAGTGATCTATTTCCTTTAAAGGGACAGTATCATCGAAAAAAATCAATGTATGGAGCTGATTTTTTTTTTACTAGCATTTCTTATTTTTCTGAATCAGAAAAACATAGTTTGAGGACCGAACTCGGTGAAAAATATTGCAACCACATTTCATTTTCATGATTCATTTTCATGAGCGAACCACCACTATACAAGCATGGCCGCCAGTTTGGAAGCATGCAAAATTACTACAGAGCTGGCGCAGATAATACATTATTGACGCTACGCTTACGCGGTCGTTCTTCTGATTGAGTTGTCCTTAGGGAGAGGTAGCCTTAGGTATTGCCTATAAAAATATCACGTGACAATTGGAGGGAGTGACAATTGGACGTGACAATTGACAATGGGAGAAAATATCACGTGACAATCACGTGATAAACGTCATACATTGGAGGGAGATTGTGATTCAAGCTGGAGGAATTCCTTTGTTGAGCCGCTAGAATCCGAAGGAAACAGCGGAAATTGCCTACGACTATTTAATGAATTTAACGGTGATGAATAAGTGCGAAAAACGTTTTGGCTTTATAAAATTTGATGAAATGACCAGGGTAAAAGTTTTATTACTGGCGGTCAATTCAAAACGGCGCAAACATTTAAACAGTGAAGATAGTGAAGCACGATTCAAAGTGTAGTACACCTTTCGTACTTTGAGCGGCGATAGCGGGATAACGGTGTGGAGCTTCGAGGATCGGTCTTCAGTTCCCGGACCAGAAAGGTGGGGCCTATGCAATGTCAAATTTCATCAAAATGGTGATACTGTCCCTTTAAATCACCGTGAAATATTTGATACACCCAAAGAAAGCAACAGGTTTGATGAATTGCCACCAAGTTTCTATTTCTTAGTTGATATGGGCTTTTAAGTAACCTCATTATCACGTCAGATCGATTCGCAGCCCGGTTCCTTTCTCTCTTGCATTATCAATTCGTTCATGGCGCACCTGCCCTGCGCCTCCCGTGTGGTGCTAGTATCACGCGGGCGATGCAGTCTCCAGAGATAAATCCGGCCGCCGCTATCGCGCAGCCGCCTGGTGCGCTATGCTGTACCGCGGGACAGTATGTCCTGCGGCACAGTGTGAAAGACAGGCGCTTCCTCGCCGACGCACGCATTTTATAATGCGGAGACTGCATTGATGGGTTGGAAAATATCATCAAGTAAACAACGGAGACTTCGATCGTGCATAGAAAAATAACGCGTCATTTATGATGGATTGCAGGCTGCTGGAAGTGGACACTGTCGCAACTGACTTTGCTTGAATAATGTCCCGATGATTTCTACTCAAACAAATAAAAAGTCCGACCATAGAAGAGCCGTCCCACAGAGTGTATTGTTTTCTACCTCTTTTGGTCTCCAGACTCGATTGTAGACTGCCAAAATGTTGTGAAGATTTTCTGGGTGCGGAGCCTGCCGGTTAGGATTTCACGTTAAACGTGTGTCATGTGTTTTTTTCGGGGGGGGGGGGCTTATTTTTTGGGATGCTCAATTTCATAGCTCATGAGTTACGTTGTCTTTACTTACGATGCATGCATGCTTCGAGATTCCAGTTTTTTTTTTCACAGCATGCCCTCCGCCACAAGTCCTGTTTGACTTAATTCGAGACCGAGCCGACGAGCGTCAACCTCCCGCATGGTCTAGTGGCTAGGATACACGGCTCTCACCCGTGAGGCCCGGGTTCGATTCCCGGTGCGGGAACACGTTTTGTGCCAACCCCTTCACTCTTCAGTAAGCAGTAAGCACCTTGTTCTTACTCTGACCCTTCGGGCTGCTGTAAAAGCGAGGCGCAAACCCTACGTCAGACGTGCCAACTTGGGTGATGCGCCCCGGCTCCACACACCTTTTTTCCGAGTCATTCCTCCCTCCCTCCCTCATTTCCTCTGTCTCTTTCTCTCTCCTCAGTCATCCTTTCTTCCCCTCCGTATTTTCTCCACATCCGTTGTTCTAACTTCGTGCTTGTGCTTTGCAGTGTGCGGTGTGCGGTGTGCACTCTAATGCACATGGTATGTGTTGCGTGTGTTGCTTGCCTCCAAAGACATTCATTAACGGAAACTCATGACAAATTATTCCCCTGAAGATGTCCACGACCCTATCGTGCCTGGCGGTGAATCGTCGCGTTGAGTTTTACCGCGGTTGGTATAGGATGTCGTTGTCCTGCGAACAGCTGTGACCGCTGCACTCTCCCGCAGACCCGGGTAGCTGACAGTGGTATGGGGTGCTGTAGAATTGGGCCAGCCGGGGTGTCCGGATGTAAAAAGACGTCCTGTGCTGACCCTGTTTGGTTATCGGGCGGCGGAAGCCCGATGTGGTGTCGATAACACACACTAGACTGCCGATGGGCGATCAGTGTGTGTGTGGGGGGGGGGGAGGGGAGGGAAGGTGAAGCTAGGCCAAAAACTAGCCCTGTGTATCTAGCACATGAGTGCGCAGAGTGCGTTTATGAGTGCTAATAACATTGGCTATGCGGGATAAGTTGTTGAAACTTGTATGTACTAGCTGATGAGGTCAAGGGGGATAGGTATATGATAAAGGAGATTTCGAACCTACCTTGCATACATTCCAGCAAATCATTACCAGAAGCTTTTTGGGAAGCCTACTTGCCTCGTCACAATGCAGACACTTTGGGATGGCGCTGAGCTTTGCTTGAGTGATGAGTACCGTCCGACGGCAGACCGTCGTTGGGCGCAGTGCTGATCTGACCTCTACCCGACCCCCTGCCGCTGTGCCGCGGTGCACCTCCCCGCACCTCACATCTGCATCCTCACCTAGCTGATTCACTGGACACGGGAGTGTAACGAATTACGGGGCTCGTTAATTGGAATGGTGGCGCGGAGGCGAATGTTAGCGGGTTTGTGCGCATGTGGTGACTCATCCGCATACCGACCTCACCTCCGGACTCCGTCCGTTCTGCTTTAGATGCTCAACTGCTGTATCCAGAAACGTGCTCAGGGAATGAAGAGCTCTCAGGACGCTCTGGATAGCGGAGAGGCCAAAGGTAATTCGAGGACATCGCTGGGATCGCGCTCTCTTATTTGAATTTTGTATGCTCCGTCAAATTATCATAGTAAATGCCATTGCCATAAGTATAAAAGCAAAAATTTATAAGAAAAGACGAATTATTATAAACTACTTGCGGCCAATGGATGATGCAAATTTTGCTTTGAATGCGCATTTAGCGGGACATGTTTCGGGGTAACATTCAATGTTCGTTTCTGTGCTGTTTGGTTGACATTATCTGACCTCGTCAGCGGAGGATGAGACTGAGGACGACGACGAGTTTTTCGACGCTCCCGACGAGGGCCCGTCGGAGGAGGCGGACTGTGCGCGGCAGCAGCGGCTGCCCTGGAACCAGCCCGAGGGGCGTCTGAAGCCGTGCGGCTCCCTGCGGCTGCTGGAGACGGGGGAGCGGCTCTACATCCCCGTCACTCAGGTGGGGAGTGCCTCCGCGGCGGGTGAGGTGCCGCTACCGTGTGCGACTGTGACGTTGTGCGACGCTGTATGATGCGTTGCGTTGCTCGTATGTGCCAAGATTGTATGTATCTCAGTCTCTGTGACACTTTCTACCCTTTGCATGCCACTGTCGCTATTTGAGACTGTATGACGCTGTGTGCCACTGTCTGTACCGTATTGGTGCGGAGACGTGTTTTGCACGATTGAACGCAGTGTTCCAGGCCTGACCCTCCATACAACCGCCCTCTCGCCCTCCCGGCCAGGACGTGGCGCCGATGACCGAGGACCGGCTCCAGGAGCAGTCGGAGGTTCTCGTCAGCCTGGGTACAGACTCAGAAGGATGTCAGCTGCGGGCGCGAATGATGGCCGCGTCACTCACATCCGACATGGAGGCGTTCAAGGTGCGGCGCTCAACGGGGAGCGGGAACATTAACTGACCAGATTCAGCCTTCAGGATGGTAGGGCTATTGAAAGAATATGCAGAATGAAAAAGTTTAAACGTAATTGGTCATGTTGATCGTTTGCGGCTTTAATATCGATTATTTTGGTATAGTTATATTTCCTGGTCGTCTGATTCAGGCTTTTAGCTTTTTTTCTGCACAGAGCTGTATAGTGTATAGTGTAGTACAGACAGACCGTCCCTCTCCCTCCCTCCCTCTCCAGGCCGCCAACCCGGGCAGCACGCTGGGCGACTTTGTCCGCTGGTACTCGCCCCGTGACTGGATCCAGGAGGAGTCAGATGACTCCGGTAAATCGGGTAAGAGCCGCCCCGCACTGCCACCCACCGTCGGTACCCTCACAAGCCAAACTGGTGGGCAGGTCCCAGGGGCCACGACGGATCCCGTAAGCACCCCTAAAGAAGGAGGGAATGTGTTTTGATGTGTGGCGCCCCCAGCATCTGACATTCTTTGCTAGATAATGTATGCATAATTCGTTCATTTACGCACGAAATTAACGAACACACGCTGAGGGCTTTAATTACGAGCGAGCGAGCGCAGTGAGCGAAGCGAAGTCTTTTCAATATAACGGAAAAATCTCAGTATGAGCGGCCTGGCCCGGCCCGGCCTGTAACGCTTTTGAGAGGCTTATATCTCAGCAACCGCTAGACCGATTGGCCTGCGGTCTTTTTTTGCTGGGTAGCCCCATTCCTTCTACCCCGTAACTACTTTTGATACATCTCAGTGACCGTCGTGGCACGTGCCACGTGAAAAGTCAAGGGTGTTCAAGCTGTTTTGCAAAAGTAGTGATTTTGAGAGGCTCATATCTCAGCAGCCGCTTGGGCGATTGTCTTGCGGTAATTTTTGTAGGGTAGCTGCATCCCTTCTACCAAAGGTCGGATACTCTTGATCTATGTGAGTGACCCCCACTGCACTTGCAAAATACAAAAAGAAGACGTGCCAAATTTGTTCCCATTTCAATAACTCGGTAATTACTGGGGCGATTTCGCTTGAAACTTGGCGTACAGGTAGGCACCCACCAAGCAATGCATTGCCATGTGTTGCGGTTAGGGTGCTACTGCACGTGCGCACGTGCAGGGGGCGCTTCCAGATCTCAGGAACGGCTGGGTATAGCTGAGTGCGCGGATGCAGATCGCCGATTGCGTTCAAATTTGGTACACGGTTGGGGACCAGTTAATAGGGTGCCGTGCAAAAGTCAGTTTGGACCCCGTTTGCACGTGCGCACGTGCAGAATGCCGCTTCCAGATCTCAGGAACGGCTGGGCCGATTGCGTTCAAATTTGGCACACCGCTAGCGACCGGTCAGAAGGGTGCTTTCCACAAGCCCGTTGGAAGTACTCTCTCGCCCTTCCGCACGTGCAGGGCTCACTATATCGCTCGCTCGTTCTTCGCCCAAAAGGCGTTTTACTGGTTATTTTTATCTTATTTCATGTATTGCTTGTTTTACCCATTGGACTCAGTTTGGCTACGCTGTTTTCCCGCCATACCGGGCTCGATATTCTTTCTGCTAGTTCTGCATCGGTCCGCGAGGAGCGCTCAGGTGCGCTGGCTCGCTGTCTGATAGTTCCCTCGCCGTCCGCCAGGGTCGCTGAGTGCGCGGATGCAGATCGCCGACAACCTTTGGCTGGAAGCGTGGTCCGGCTCCAAGCCGGTCCCGGCGCGCCGCCAGCGACGTCTGTTCGATGAGACTCGCGAGGCGGAGCGGCTGTTTCACCAGCTGGTGACGCTGCGTCCGGCGCAGCTCGTCCAGATGGTGAGCGGCTTTACAACACCCGGCGTCCTCAGCTATACTTGCATTACCTTATAAAACGTGTTTGTCTCTGCTGCTGCTGTCTTGACGTAACGCTCACCACACTAGCATTAAGTTCAGCATAGCGAACCCAGTCCTTGGGCTGTTGACTGTTACGAGTGATATGCTTTGCGATGTTGCAGCTGTCGCCGATGATCTACCACGCTGCCATCTATCGACTGGTGGAGGAACTAGAGCCTGCCGATCTGCCCGCCATTGGACAGCAGCTGGAGGAGGCCGTACGCCGCCTCCACTCTGCAGCCAAGGCCGACTGGGACGACAAATCCTACGATGTGAGTCGTGGTTTTAATCCAGGCTATATTTTGTTCTAGTCATTTATTGCTTGATTCCAATTCACCAATGTTTAAGCTTTGCTGGCACGTTATGCACCATGGATATGATATTATGTAGCCACACCGCAGGGCTCGGTTGGTCTCGGCCCCGTGTTTAAATCAACCACGCGTGCGCAGGGGTACTCGTCTCACTCTCTTAGCTATCGCTATTCCCCATCCCCTCTCACCTCGTGCCCTCCGTGCCCTCGGCAGGGGGTCGGTCAGCTTATCGCCACATGTGAACACTACGTGCTCCGACGGCGCTCCCTGGCGCTGAAACTGGACGGCGTCCCAGAGAAAGACAAGTTCGTGCAGCTGCTGATAGGTGGCGTTGAGGTGCCGGTGCCCGGAGGCCCTAATGGCGACGCGGCGAGGCGACTGGAAAGGCTGTTGACTGGAGACCAGGTGAGAGTTTAGTCTCCAACTTAAATATGCATCGGGTGCTAGATATGATAGAAAATACCTTTGCTTGCGTACAGTTATGGCGGACGCAGTATGGGCTCGTATTTTTGTCGGGCAGTGCTGGGCATCGCCGGACCGCAGGTTGTGTGAAAAAAACGCCATAAACAAATCAGCCAACACCACACACACACAAAATAATACGATGGTTAACGGTCGTCGATAGTGTTACCCTACAAATCAGCGCGATTGATTTGCCCCGAGTAACAATTTTGACATTTTGATGCTACGTCGCGCCCTTCGTTATGCTGCGGCGTGGCTGTCTTCGGAGTATACTCGCTCTGTAGTCAGTGCGCCCCAAGGCACAGTTCGTCTGGAGACACTATATCCGTACTGTTTGTTCCGCTGGTGATGTGTGCGTGTCGCGCCGCGTCGGCGGCCGTACACGGCGGTCGGCCGGAGGTCGGTTGTTGTTTGTGGTCCGGAACCGGTGAGTGTGCGTGAAAGGGGTTTAAAAAAAAGAGGTTTAAGGTAAAAGAAAAGGTAAAAGAAAAGGTTTAACGGGCTTCCAGGCCAGGAGATCAGCGGTGCTCACCGCTCGCTCGTACAAATAGCAAGTACGAATTACGAATGTCCATACTCTAACTATAACGATCTCCATGTGATCTCCCGTTTCCCCTTCACAGGCTGACCAGCGACTGCCTCCGCCGGCCTCTAAGGAGTACATTCTGCGCGTGCCGTGCCGGCGGCCGGGCGCGGCGTCGCGGCCGCTGCCGCAGCGCCTGCACTGCCGGGTCTCGGAGGACACGTTCCGTCTGTCGGCCTCTCTCAGTCAGGACAGTGTGTTCAGCTGAGCGGCCCGGTCCGGTGGGTGCCACGCAGAGCGCCAGACGACCTCGCCTTGGGTAGCTAGTGCTGTGCGGTGGGCGAAATGAATTATATATTGGTTTGGTATATCAGGGACGGGGACGGAGCGGGTCGCGCGGGCCCACCGTTGTTCTGGGGAACAGGGATAGGAGCTGTGGGGATGCGAGAAATACGACCTGTTCCCAGCGGATCAGTCCCGTGGTTGTGCCCCGCGACGCGACGCCCGTGTTGGGTGAACCTCGGACTGAAAAAGACCAGTCATAGACCACATTTAATAGATAGGCATAGCGGTACGCAGAGGTCTATGGACGAGCTGATACCGGGGCTGAAATGTCTTCCGGTAGTGATATCCAATAGCTTCGGGAGAAAGCATGTCTTTCTCTTTGTGCATTGGCTTTCTTTGCTTTGCCGCTGCTTTGGCGTCCTTGACATCGAGCGTTGGCTTTGTGCGTAGTGCGTAGTGCTGAATAGGCTAGCGAAGCACCTTATGCTATCACTGATGCTAGCGTAGCTCTGATGCTAGTGTAGCTCTGCTGCTAGCGGCTCGGTCCGTCCGTCCCCTGCGGTGTAGGGCGGACCGAGCGAGAGCGGCACGGCCCGTCCTTAGCCGCCACCGGCAGCTGCGGCGCCGGACAGGCCGGCTCGAGCGGCCGCCGCCGCATCTACTGACGGTACGCTCGGTAACTACCAGCGTTTGGGGTGAAGGCTGGGTGTCATCTGGTGACTGATTGTTCGTGTTATTTCAGTGATGCCGTCATGTGCGACTTTGGAAGCTGTGTTTCGTAGTGAGAACTGTGTCTTGTGGATAGTTGTTTCTGGTTAATTTGTGCGCTGTCATGGTGGTTTGTGTGGCTATGGATGCAACTTAAAATCAGGTTAATCGTACTTCAATTGTTTTATTTTCGTAGGTAAGGTGAGATTAAAAATTATCGAAAAATTGATAAAGTGTAGGGGCAGCTGTATTTCGTCCTTGGTCTTTTAAGCCATGCTAAACACTAGCAGGTAAAATAAAATATGGGCATGAAAAGTTTTCATGCCCATATTTTTTTTTTTTCATTGAAAACTCACCCTAGGTAAAGTTTGTGTTAGTTATTACAATACGCAGATAAAGATGTTTGAAATGACTGACGACTTAACCCTCGCCCGTAAACGGCGATCTGCCACCTTCGCCCATGCAGGGGGGGGGTTGGTGCGACCCCCCCCTTGGCGTTTGAAAACGGAGCGTCGTAGAGCTTAGCGGAAAAGACCAACGGATTGCTCTTGCCGAGATCTCGCGATTGGTGGTATATTTTTTGGTCCTAGGTCAACATTTGACCTACTTTTGACCGGTCAAAGGTCAAATTTTCGGAAAAATAGACTTTTTTCAAATTTTCCGCGGCGATTGCGGCAAAACGGTGGGAGATATCGACTTGAAACCTTCACTATCGTGTTCCTTGATCAATTCTCTATCGTTTGGTATGTATTTCGTTTCCCTAGCTCTAAAAATGGCGCGTTGGGAGCGCCGGAAGTCGGCAAGGTCACAGTCGGCGGCAGAAATTCGAAAAATCAAAATTTAAATTTTTGAAATCTGATTGTATTTTTGGATTTGGGAGGTCCATTTGCTCCCTATAGAAGCTAATATTGCTGCATATTCCCATTGAGGTGACAAGAATTAGCAAAATAGTGGTTCGGGCGCTTTTCAAAAATAGTACCGGACGCTGTTCCTCTTGTGACGTCATAGCTCCGTGACCTGACCTGACCCGGTCAAGTTTCTTATACCATATGATAGCCAATACTTGCCCCAACATGCATGGGAAGTTTCATCACGATCCATCAACCGATGTCCGTACCACCGGCAGGAAACCTCGGGCGTTGGCACTCAGTTTGTGAAAATCCGGCCGGAGGCTGTTCCCTTTGTGACGTCATAACTCCGTGACCTGACATGACCCGGTCAAATTTTTTTTTATCAAAAGATGCGCAAGGTTTGCCCCATAAGGTACCCAAAATTTGGCGGCGCTGCACGCCGCCGTTTTTGCATTATTTCCGAAAAACCTTAGGGGGGGTTGCACCAACCCCCCCCTACATGGGCGAAGGTTAAATGTGAAAAGAAGTTTTAAAAGGGAATTATAAATGAAATGGAAGTTATGGAAAAAGGGTACGATCAGGAATTGGAAAGCCTTGCGGTTAACGCAGACCTAGCCAGGCTTTTGACGTCGCATAAAGTTTTTTCAGAAGCTATAATTTTTCTCGCCTCTAGGAATGCTTGGATGATTATTTTGAACGTAATTGTAGTGAATGCCGACTGTTAGCGTAATTGTAAATCGCCGAATATGAATCATCTACCTATTTTGATAGTACGTGCCTACTTGTTTCTGTAAACTTTATTGAATCCGCCGCTTAAAACTTAAGAGTACCTACAGATGATTTTGAAATGCATATGCACAGCCAACATCACCTCACTAAATACACACATACAGGGTGACACAAAAAAACGGTCATCACCAAATTTCGAATAACCAAACTTCGGCCACTTAAGGTCACACCTATGTAGCATACATCCACCAAGTTTCAAGTCTTCACTACGAATACTTTTAGTACAGTGTGTGTTTTACTGACGCTCCACAATGTGCTCCAGGTGAGCGCCACGGCGCTGCAAGGCGTAGGCACACTTGCATCCGGCGGGCAAAGTTGTCGATAACCCGATGGCTGTGCACTTTATACAGAGTGCAATGGCCTCTGGAGACAGTGCTCAGGGGGTGTGCTACCCCTGAAACGTTATTCTTATCGGGTTATCGGCAACTTTGCCCGCCGGATGCAGGTGTGCCTACGCCCTGCAGCGCCGGGGCGCTCACCTGGAGCACATTGTGGAGCGTCCGTAAAACACACACTGTACTAAAAGTATTCGTAGTAAAGACTTGAAACTTGGTGGATGTCTGCTACATAGGTGTGACCTAAAGTGGCCGAAGTTTGGTGATGATCTGAATAAAACTTACGAAGTTATTTGAATTTTGGTGATGACCGCTTTTTTGTGTCACCCTGTATGAACAATAAGCATAAAATCACCCAGTGACAGATATTCCATTCTTATGTCTACCCATCAGTGTCCATGGTAAACGTCTCCCATCTATGTAGGGTCGTAACGCCCTCTATCAAACCCTGCCAGTCCCCGGGTAAACACTAGACCATCCGCCTCGATGATACTGTCCAAGTCCTGATCTCCGTGCCGCTGTTCCAGTGTCGGCGCCGCTGGACCCACTGGCGACCCCTCGCTGCTGATCGCCAGAAAAGGTGCCGGATATGTTTTTGAGAGCCAGATTGGGGACCTGTATGTTTGACACTTGGCGGCAGAGCGGACACTGGCGACAGTGAAATCGATTTAGAGGGTGCGGGTAATCGAAGTGGTACATTCCTCCGGCAGGTCTCGGTGTGTTTTCTATGCAGTTCTTACAGAATGTGTGGGCACACTCCAGAGTCATTGGCTCAACGAAGGTGCCGAGGCAGACGCTGCATTCCACGTACTCTTTCTGCTTTCTAACCAGTTCTCGGAGTTCTGTCAGCTCTTCGATTTTCTTTTTCATGTCCTCCTCTTCCGTTTTTGCTTTGATCTCTCGCCCTTGATCTTTATCCTTCAGCTCTTTTACCAGAGTCTGCATACTGGCGATCTGCCGTTGGTAATCAGCGTTCATTTGCTGAATGGTGGCTATGGTTTTCTCGCTGCTTTCGTGATCGATAATCAGTTTTGCATAGTTTTGCATTAACTCTTTTTTTTTTGCGATTCTGTTTCTGCCATTGCTCTCAAATGGCCCTCTTTTTCCCGCTCATATCTTTGCCTCTCACGCTCATTTTCTTCTTTTAGTTTATCCTCGGATTCTTTCCGCACTCGTTCCTCTGTCTTGTGTATTTCTTTTTCCCTTTGTTGTGTTTCCCTTGCATTCTTCCTTTCCTTTTCTTGCCACTCTTCCTCCTTTTGCTGCCATTCTGTCTCCTTGTTCTGCCATTCAGCTTCTTTGTTTTTCCATTCTCTCTCCTTTTCCTCCAATTCCCTCACCTTTTCCTTCCATTTCCGTCTCTCTGCCTCCTTCACCTGGCTCGAGGCGCTTTCTTCTTGTGCCTTCGGGCGCACTCTTGCTGTTTGCTCACACATCTTGTAATGTCTCTTTGGATATTTGCTCGACGAGTCAAGTGAATCGTTCACATGATTCGCGACCTCCTCAGTGCTGTCGACCCTTTTGACGCGGGTCTCGGCACTGTGGCCCGGCTGCGATTCTTCACAGAGGTCGGGATCCTGTCGGTCGGACCTTTCCTTGTCGTCGTCCCGTTCTGTCGGAGTTTGAGCTCTGGCTGGCCGAGAAACTGACCTGCTCACTCGAACCTTCCTCAGCTCTTTCAGCACTTGGTCTTCCGTCCAGCCAAAGAATGCCAGCACCCGCTGGTTGTGCGGCTCCTTCAGGCTGTGACTCTTGGAGCACCTGTCTCCGAACCTGCAGCGACTGTGGAGGAATGCCTCGCAGTAGTGTAGCCTCAGACAGTGTCTCTGGCAGCCCTGTCGGCCATACACAGCTCTGCAGAGCGCCGGCTGGGGCGGCCGGCGGCGCACCTGCTCCTGCAGTCGCCTGAGGAGCTCTGTCACAGGGGTATCGGTCAGACCGGCACTGGCCAGAAGGTCGGTATTGTGCCCGCCGTCCAGCAGGTCGTGACTGAGGCCACAGTCGTCCAGCGGACAGGCATCCACTACACAACGGTAGCAGACGTGAAGCCGGCCACAGTTGGGGACAGAACAACTGCCCACGTTGTACATGACGCAGACGCTGACTGCCTGACCTCGAGCCCGCCGGCGCAGGATGTCCAGCGCCAGAGCCAGATCGTCCGAACCTCTCCATCCCAGACCATCTAGCAGCAGGATGTTTCTGGGCGTCTCCAGGGCGTGGGCCTTGTTGCATCGCTCGGCGGTGCATCTGTTTTGAAGGAAGTATGTGCACAAGTGCAGCTCCTGGCAATTGGCGCGGGTACATCCTCCCCTACGGTTGTAGTCGTTGCACATGCGAGGGAGTTGTCTGGGTGTCTGCTGTCCACTCCGCGATCTTTCAGGTGGTGGGAAGTTCATCGTGATGTCTGCAACATACAGGAGCGTGATCGGAAAATGTATTCTTTTTTGTTAGCCGACGCCTACTGACCGGCTGATGCGGTGGCTAGTAGATTTGCATTGCTAGTAGATTTGCTTTGCATTGCAGTAGATTGCATTCAGAATATGCTAATGATTAAGTATTGGCGAAGGAAAAGAATGCCTGTATACAACACATACAGGGTGTCCCATAAGTTCGTTCTCACCTAAATTTTACGTTTTTAGGCTCTCTTGCTTAAAGGCACGCTGAAATTGGCTCGTTACTGAGCTTACGTGGTTGCCATGGCTGGTAGAAATATGCTCCACAGTAACTAATTTCTGTAGACAAAATAGTTTTTGCTAGAGAGCCCGTTTCCTACACAGACGGCTAACGCCGGAACTTAGAGGTCTCCAATACGGGTACGTCTCGGTATTTAGTCAGCACGTGACCATTCGCGACGATTGAGGGTGATTGAGGCCTACCAGTCTGTAGACAATGTCCATCGCTAACTGGACGTACAGTCAGCAAGTGACACCGATGATTTGTCGGGAGTCAATCACTGCAAGTTTATCCTCTTTTTTTTTTGTCAGCTCTCAGGAGTGAGCCATGTGGCCAAAACTGTGTGGCGCCAAAGTGGCCATCAAAAAGGTCAAAGGGTTAGAAAGTTGGTAAGCAGACTTTTCAGGATGGATTACCAGCTGTCTAAAATTGTTCTTATGGGGTATATAACTCAAGGTGACTTAAGCTTTGCTTACCGGAGGGCTCAAAACAGTCAAAAACGTCTTAAAATGGCCAAACATGAGTTTCGTTATGCCTGAGGCTAAAAAACTAAAGGGCTGAGGACATCAACCAGGTCATCTGGACTAACTAGTCCACGTTCGAGATGAAACACCCGTCCAAACCCGAAAACAACCCCATAAGGGCGAAGGAGGAGGCCTCCGTTTCGTCCCGTTATGTTCGTATGCGAAAGGCCAAGGTCACGGTATTGTGGGGTTATAGGCGTCCAGACGCTGACCAGGTTGCGATTGGTGTCCCAGAAACAGCTTTGGGAAGCATGATACCTTTTCAAGAAAATCTAGGAGGAGTTTCAGCCCTCAAGCTGAACTCGAAACGCGAGTATGAACACATTTATAGAGGAGAAAATGGCATCCGAGAGGTCGTAGGCCCATCTTCAGGCAAGACAATGCATCAGTGCACAGGTCAAGCAAAGCTTAAAAGCGGTGCAAGGAGACTGTGACAGGCGTTTGTGGCAAGACCACATGCCAAGCACCTGATCGGATCAAAATTTCATAAAAAATTGTTGGTTATGCTGAAATTTAGGCTCATCGAAGCGTAGCGCTGTTCCAGCCTCGAGGAGTTCACGGCGCATGTCAAGTCAGTCTGGGTTAACTTTAAGCCTGCTATGCAGCCAAACATGCCGGTTGGCATGCCGCAGCATGTGTTCATGTGTTTGCCTATTAAATGGGGAGCACATTGAGGGGTCATGAATATATCAAAACGCAATGTACTCTGTTTCACATGCAAATAAAATGTGAGAACGAACTTATGGGACACCCTGTATATCACAAAACTCTTTGTTTGTTTTTTTTTTGGGGGGGGGGGAACTTTTTGAACTGCGAATTCTTCTGCAAGCGTGGTAGGCAGACCGTTCCTCATCGTTTAAAATCTTATGATCCGGGGCCATCCGTCTGAAAATACCAAATAACGGCATTGGAGGGCAATAGTACCTAAGGCCGATATCCTTTTCACTTACCAGATGGCTTTCCACTTTGCGACATGATATAGTTGAAAAAGAAGATTAGGCTCATGACACGCAAAGTCTTGTTCGATTCGTTGAAGGTGAGCTATGGCTAGTTTGAGCATTATTATGAATATTATGATGTTGGAAAATGATTTTAGGTATGCTCATGATACAATAAAATGATAGGGGAAGTTGGGGGAACGCCGAATACTTTTTTTCTGACGCCTGTAGCACGCAACGTAGACAACATAAGCTATTCTTGTTGGCGTCATTCGAGAGGCCAGTCGTTTGCCTTTCAAACATACCGGGCGCATTTGATGAATTCGCATACCGTTAAGCACACAAACTAAGAATATCAAAGAAGTGACTTTTTCGGCGTTGCCCCGGACTGCGGGGAAAGCCGAAAATGGGAAAAAATGATCTACGGGGAATGCCGACATTGATGTTTTGCCATTTTATCTCAAACTTTATCCAGAATTCATCAAAGCTGACACGCGTTTAAGATCTTGAGGACGCTTGGTGCACACTGGAAGTTATAATTGTGTGATATAATAAGAAAATGCCAGGTAAATCATTCCTTATAGGTAACAGGCCGTTGTGTCGGTTGAAAGTGTAATTTGTGTGGCTAAAAATACGCGTTGCTATTCTACAGCAGTAAAGTCCACGTAGCGTGCTTTAACGTGCGTAATTGCACGTTTTCGGCATTACCCCAGCCAGCCATACTTTCATTTGCAGGCCCATTACTTTTCAACATGCTGTATAAATTTCAAATAGGCAGCACACTTATGCAAAGACATGCTGAAGATTACTTGACCGAATTGGCCAGACAAACGGTAGCATAATGAATAACAAATGCAGCTTCAAAGGCGCATGTAGTACAAGGGAAACGTATCTTGAAAACGCTCTTGGCGCCCTGACAGCCGAAGTTTTCCGAATGACGACTCGTAACAAACATGCGATAATTGTAGTCACTTAAGATTCAGAGCATCACTGACAGGTGGCATTCATGTCGTACAGTTTTCGAAATATCTCGAATTTCGGCTTTGCCCCAACTCCGGCATTGCCCCAACTTCCCCTAGTGAAATAGGTCCAAAAAGTATTATAATACTTTTTGGACCTATTTCACTATCATTTCATTGTATCATGAGCATAAGGTCATTTTCTAACATCATAATATTCATGACACGCAATTCAAATTGATTCGTTCAACGATAGGCTTGTCGCAGCAAACAAGGGACTCGGGTATCGCTTAGATGTCGCAGTTCCCGAGTAGTGACGATACAGTGGCCTGAAGGCATATGACGATAAGGAAAGATGTGCACTTGGTGCTTAATGTTTTACATAACTTGATTTTATTGGTATGTGTATTTTAGATTAGATTTAGATTAGCTTTATGAATTCATATTTTATATTTTTGCACTATTTTAGACTGTTGTTGAAAACTGAAGCCATATACGAATGTTTTTTTATGACTTACCTACTTCCGTGACTAGTTCCTAGCAAGTTAGTGGCGTGCCAAATAATTAACACGGTCGAAAAAAACAGTACATATACCAACTCGATATCAAGTCAGTGGATTGGTAAGTTTCAAAAAACTTTCCAGGAACAACAATTTTAGCTCCATCAGACATCAGATATCAAATGATGGCATGTGACTATCAATGGATACGTCATAGGTGACTACAAAATAATTTATTGATATTTAAAAAATGTTCAAATATGTATAAAAGCATTTTAACAAACCGAAATCAGTTATACTTAAAGCAATTACCTATGTTGTGAACCGATTCGTTTACTTGTGCATGCTTCTTCTTAAATAAATGCAACGAATTTATCCAAACAATAAATAAACTCTCGTATCAAATATCACGGTAAACTTTTACCAAACGTACATTTGTGTTTAGAGATGTGCCCACTCACAGCTAACATTTCATATGACGTATCACGATTTGAGTGAGTCACTCATTACGTACAATTTATATCAAACACCGGTGTGTCATCCCGACTTTATGGTATGTAGTTCATAGTATTATAGGGTTCAATGACGATTTACCGCTCCGTTACCTAGGAGCGCTGCGGCCCGAAGGTTGGAACTTTGAATTATTAAAAAAAAAAAACGCCCGCCCGCCGCCAAAACACCGCAAACAAATACCGGTCTGTTACATAACGACTTGTGTATTTGGATTTAAAATGTTGTAAAATCCGTTCATTCATTTGAAACATTAAAACCGTGACAAATATACATTGCAAGCTCAACCTTCGACTATTTTCCAATGACATTTCCCTCTCTGATCCCTATCATTTTCTCACCCAATGCCCTCACACAACTATTTTTAGGCCACCACACCACTTCCTGGCCTCTTACACCGACACTAGCTAGGGAAAACACTGTGCAGCAGCTCAGTTGCGTCTACTCACCGTTTTTACGTTGAGGCCGGCCGGAGTGCCGGGGATCGGTCAGGCCGGGTCGCAGCCACCTGACGCCACTCCGGAGAGCAGAGATGTCGTATCGCGCTATCAAGTGGTTATCTTTGACGGCCTTCAGTGCATGAATCAGAAATAATCGACTCTTCTTTGTCACTGCACTTGGCCTGTCAGATTGCATATCGCTCTGTAGGAGGTAGACAGTGAGTCCTTTATTTTCTACAGCCTTCTGAAAGATACTACAGCTGGTGTAGATAGTGCTTATATTATCTTGGTAGCCTGAATGCATCATTTGTGCGACTTTAGATGGTTTGTAATAAATTCGTCACGCCACAAAAACAATTGCTTTGGCAAACTATGAGTGTCTTTTTATATCCGTCATCAGCGAGTTAAGTCACTCCAACTGCCCCTTATAGCCGTTTTCACGACGGGCTATCCGGCGAATGCACCCAATCTGACCAAATCTGCACCTAACCTCTTTTACAGCAAATATCTTCATTTTATGATTTTTTCAGTGTTTTAATCGATGATAATGTCTGATAATTTGACAAAGCAGACATATAAGCAATAAGTGCAACCCTAGCTGATAGCTACTTGAAACACACTGAACTTAATTTGACCAAATCTGCACCTAATATGCACCAAATGTGCACCAAATGTGTACCAGATGGCCGTCGTGAAAACAGCTAATGACAACCTTCTTCGCTTATACTTGCATATAGTGTATACTTAGACTCATGGGTGTCGATTTCTATTGAGTTGCGGGTGCACGAGCACTACAAATCCGCCGCGACCCTAGCGTTGACCTTGACCCGAGCTATCTGTTACGTCTCCAAAGCCAAGCCGGCGTGGCATTGGGAGAGGCTCGGACACCCGCAACTCGGCAGAAATCGACACCCATGCTTATACTTATACCTTTAAGTGCGGAATTTCGAAAGACCACTTGGCCTCAAGGATCGGTCCTACCGAGCTCCTCGCTGTGTCCTGACTTAGTCGTTACGGTAAGTTGTGTGTGTATTTCAAGCGTGCCCAGTGTTTGTCCAGTCTGGCTTTGAGGGCGTTCAGGCTGGGGGCGTCGACAACTGATGGCGGTAGTGCGTTCCAATCGTTAGTGACGCAGACGGAGAAGACATTGGGATGCACTCGGGAGACGGCCCTCGGTTTCGACAGCTTCCCTTGGTGTCCGCAGTTGTTGCCTGCCGCTGCCGCCGTGAAGAGCTGTCCGCCTCGAGATCGATCCCCCCTACCTCAGCACCTGATAGACAGTTATCAGTCGCCGCGCCGACGGCGACGGTAAAGAGACGGCACGTCGAGAATCCGAATTGCCTTTCCTCGTACGGCTGATTTCGGATGGTGGCGACTAGCTCGGTGTCTTTCCTCCGAACCCTTTCGACGTGCCTCTGGTCCTCCCGATTGAAGGGTCCCCGTATGGAGCTAACGTGTTCATAGGCGTCGTCAGACATTTTAGGTGGGGGGGGGGGGAATCAAATTTTGTGTTTAATCCTGCCTTTCTCAAATTGTTATTCCCTCGTTTTATGAGTCATTCGGCGTGCCAGGGAGCGAGGAATGCGGTGGTGATTAAATTGTTCTTCTTGCAATGAAATGTAACAACGTATTTTAAACAGAAAAATTGACCGGTAAAATCAGTCATTGATGTTACGCCCGCTTAAGCAGGGCAATGGGCAAAGCCTTCTCATGAGGAGGACACATTGGGTCTGGTGGACCCCCTTCAGACGGGCCGCTGTGCAGATGCTCCTGATCCTCACTCAGAAAAAGTGGAAAACGCTTCAGTCAATCAGTTCGCCCTGCTAATGCGGTTTGGTGCCCTCAGCTGATAAATGTGGATCCCGAGGCCCACGTGACCCCTTAGATGTATAGATTTGCGGCCGTTACTAGGACCCCGATCCGTTAGAGGCGGGCTTGGGGTCCTTCAAGGTATTATTAGTTTTTTCCTCAAAAATTTAGAGTTATGCAGTGAAACACGTAGGTGGTTGAGGACCCAATCGGAGACCATTCGTCTCAAAATTGCCTAATTTTCACATGATGGCCCTCCAAAGTTCAATTCGACTGCCAGCCGCCTCTTCTGACGGTCTACACGAAAAAATTCTCCATAAGCCTATAGGTTTAACACTAGCTAGATAATTCTAGAGATATTTTTGTGTGCCAAATACGGCCGTCGCATACCAGATACAGTCGCAAGGGCCGTTCAACGTAACGTAGCGAAAAGAAAAAAATCTGGGACTTTTTCCTCCCTATTTTTCAAAGGTTGGCAGCACGCGGCGCCAACCACCCGGATTCAGTTGTGCGCCACCCGCGCGGTGGCTCTTGGCGATTTGAATTCTCGAATAAATCGTTTGTCCAGTGTAGGTATTACATATTTGTTGCTTTGAGAAGATATGGGTAAATAGCGTGGCGCCAATCCGTAGAGAACAAAATCGTGAGTGTAGGTACTGTTACTGGATGCGAATAAATAACAACCAAATCAACCGCATGTTTCTGTTATTCTGGGCAACGCTTCTTCGTTGTTCGAGAAGACCATGCTAGGTAAGGCTACATTGAAGTGATGATGCATGAAAAGGAACTAGGTGAAAGATACCAATAACTAATATTTAAGGAAAACATTATTCAAAATATGTTGTAATTGTTCACAAATTTATTCAAATCCTATGTTTTGCCTCTCAAATGCTCCACGTCTTAGCTGACAGTCTAGCTAGACTGCTGTATCAGCACTATTTATTTGTATTCGCACTATATAACAAATCTGATAAGAGTGACAGATGCAATCAAACACTTGAGTGCGTATGAATTCACCATTCGCAATTCAACAAACATTCAATTAACGAATTCAGTCAACATTTGCATTTATTTTGTAGGGCACATATTAATCATTGTGATATGGTTCAATCTTTCCAATCTAGATAATAGCTCAGCACATTGCGCACAACCTCTAAACAGCACTCTACTGGGAATATATATTCCCGACCGGGGCTGGGAAAATGCGTTTTATTCACCGAGGTTTTTGTGCGGAGGACCGAGTGCCGGTAGGCACGAGGTCCGTAGCAAAAAACCGAGGTGAATAAAACTGCATTTTCACAGCCCAAGGTTGGGAAGAGATTTACCACATGCCGTACTGGCGCAACAGTTAATATCATATTCATTTGATATTTTACACTTTAATCTTAATATTGTGTTAATATTATATTAATACTATGTTCATATTTTTAGTCACCGTGATTATTTGTTTGTGTTTTTCATTATTAGGCTGCGTTGAGTATGAAAGATGAAATTCCTACTTCCCCCTTATTTAGGGTTTGAAAAAGCTGAGGATGAAGATGGTGAAACGCCAGAAGTTAGAATAAAGATATGGAGTCCAGCAGGAGTGAGGAAACCGTGAGGAAAACTAAAAATTGGGTGAAACGCTGAATCAAACGTGTCTTGGATCCCAGCTGGAACAATATCAAATGTTTCATTGTGGTACGCTAAGATGCTTCACGCATTTAAATTGTTCGTTTTTTGCGTGCATTATGTAGAAATAATGATTATTCCGACCATGTTCTGCAGCAATAAATACATTGGCATTGGAACGATAACCTTGTTTAGTTGAATTACGTTGACAGCAAAAGTATGTAAACACGCAGTCACTTACTTTTGCTGTTGCTGTTAGTGAACACACAATCCGTAAATATCTTCTTTGAAATTGGTTCTTCCGCTCAGAATATTCAGTAAAACTTTGTCTGGGAAAATCAAAAAGCCCTAGGGCCGAATCGTTTCCCAAATACCTTCAACATTAGCCGAGGCGGGCCGAAGCCATTTCCCAAATGCACGTGCTAATGTTAAAGGGATATCTCGGCATGTGGTAAACCCTGTGTAATCCAGCGGATAAATGCAGCGCTGACATAGAAGTGTGCCTTCCAGGCCAACATCAGAACGCCACCTGCCAGCACTCCCGACGCTACCTGAGGTCGATCTCAGACAGTTCCGTCCAGAGCCCGGCCGTGCTCTCGTGGTCGTCGGATGAGTGGTGACATGTCGGTTAGGTCAGACACCGTTCTGGAGGCCGGTCAGGCACCTCACTGTCACATGACAGGTCGAGCTGTTGATCAGGACAGGACCTCTGTCACTGGTGCGTTGGACGGGGCTTCGGTCGACACTACTTCCTGGCACCGTTGTCAACCTCGCCTGTCCGATGGTGGATATCGGCAAAGCAACCGGCGGTTTTTGGGTGTCAGGCTGGGAACTTGCATGTTTGGTTCAAGATCAGGTCAAACACCCGAAAGTGATTTGCAGTAGCATGAACTTTGAGACTTTGTGCTGAGCATCACTCGTCATAAACTCTGTTAGGATTGTGCACAATCTATCTTTGAAGTGTCACACGGTGACAGCTATGACACCCGTATGCCTGCCCCTCAGTGTCCTTGAGTTACGTCTTTCAACTTGCACCGTAAGCGAACCAAATGTCCCCAGGTCGTGGTCTCCTTGCCGTTCTTCCGGTGCGGGCGTCGCTGGTCGCACTTGCGGTTGCTCGCTGCTGATCGCCAGAGAAGGTGCCGGATATGTTCTTCAGAGCCAGACTGGGGACCTGTACGCTTGCCACCCTGCGGCAGAGCGGACACTGGCGACGTTGATTTTGATTTAGAGGGTGCAGGTGATCGAAGTGGTACATTCCTCCGGCAGGTCTCGGTGTGTTTTCTATGCAGTTCTTACAGAATGTGTGGGCACACTCCAGGGTTACTGGCTCAACGAAGGTGCCGAGGCAGACGCTGCATTCTACATATCCTTTCTGCTTTCTAACCAGTTCTCGGAGTTCTGTCAGCTCTTCGGTTTTCTTTTTCATGTCCTCCTCTTCCGTTTTTGCTTTGATCTGTCGCCCTTGATCTTTATCCTTCAGCTCTTTTACCAGAGTCTGCATACTGGCGATCTGCCGTTGATAATCAGCGTTTATTTGCTGAATAGTAGACATGGTCTTCTGGTTTCTTTCGTAATCAATTGCAAGTTTTGCAAAACTTACCATCAGTTCCTTTTCTCGCGATTCTTTTTCTGTCATTGCCTTTAAATGGACTTCTTTTTCTTTTTCATACGCCTGTCGCAAGCGTTGAAGCGTTCGTTCTTCTTTTCGTATATCGGCAACTTCGTTTGGCGCCCGTATCTCTATCTCACGTGTTTCTTTTTCCCTTAGCTGGGTCTCCCTTGCTCTCTTTCTTTCATTTTCTTGCCACTCGTTTTCCTTCTGCTGCCATTCTACCTCCTTGTTCTGCCATTCGGCTTCCTTGTTTTTCCATTCTCTCTCCTTCTCCTTCCATTCCGTCTCTTTTCGCTCCCACTGCTGTCTCTCCGCCTCCTTCTGCTGCTCCGAGACGTTATCTTCTTGTGCCTTCGGGCGCACTCGGGCTGTTTGTTCACACAGCTTGTGATGTCTCTTTGGTTGTTTGTTCGACGAGTCAACTAAATCGTTCACATGATTTGCGACCTCCTCAGCGCTGTCAACCCTTTTGACGCGCGTCTCAGCACTGGGGCCCTGCTGCGATCCTTCACAGAGGTCCTGTCGGTCGGACCTTTCCTCGTCGTCGTCCCGTTCTGTCGGAGTTCGAGCTCTGGCTGGACGGGAAGCTGATCTGCCCACTCGATCCTTCCTCAGCGCCTCCAGCACTTGCTCCTCCGTCCAGCCAAAGAATGTCAGCACCCGCTGGTTGTGCCGGTCCTTCAGGCTGTGACTCTTGGAGCACCTGTCTCCGAACCTGCAGCGACTGTGCAGGAACGCCTCGCAGTAGTGTAGTCGTAGGCAATGTCTCTGGCAGCCCTGTCGGCCATTCACTGCTCTGCAGAGCGCCGGCTGGGGCGGCCGGCGCCGCATCTGTTCTTGCAGTCGCCTGAGGAGCTCCGTCACAGGGGTATCGGTTAGACCCGCACTGGCCAGAAGTTCTGCGTTGTGCCCGCCGTCCAGCAGGTCGTGACTGAGGCCGCAGTCGTCCAGTGGACAGGCATTCACTACACGACGGTAGCAGATGTGAAGCCGTCCACAGTTAGGGACAGAACAACTGCCCACGTTGTACATGACGCAGACGCTGACCGCCTGACCTCGAGCCCGCCGGCGCAGGATGTCCAGCGCCAGAGCCAGGTCGTCCGAACCCTGCCATCCGAGACCCTCGAGCAGCAGGATGTTTCTGGGCGTCTCCAGGGCGTGGGCCTTGTTGCATCGCTCGGCGGTGCATCTGTTTTGAAGGAAATATGTGCACAAGTGCAGCTCCTGGCAATTGGCGCGGGTACATCCTCCCCTGCGGTTGTAGTCGTTACACATGCGAGGGAGTTGTCTGGGTGTCTGCTGTCCACTCCGCGATCTTTCAGGTGGTGGGAAGTTCATCGTGATGTCTGCAACATACAGGAGCGTGATCGGAAAATGTATTCTTTTTTGTTAGCCGACGCCTACTGACCGGCTGATGCGGTGGCCAGTAGATTGCATTCAGACTATGCTAATGATAAAGTATTAGCGAAGGAAAAGAATGCCTGTATACAACACATATATCACAAAACTCTTTGTTTGGGGGGGGGGGAACTTTTTGAACTGCGAATTCTTCTGCAAGCGTGGTAGGCAGACCGTTCCTCATCGTTTAAAATCTTATGATCCGGGGCCATCCGTCTGAAAATACCAAATAACGGCATTTGCTCAAATGCCGTTATTTGGTATTTTCAGTATTTTATTTGGTATTGCCCTTGAGGGCAATAGTACCTACCTAAGGCCGATATCCTTTTCACTTACCAGATGGCTTTCCACTTTGCGACATGATATAGTTGAAAAAGAAGATTAGGCTCATGACACGCAAAGTCTTGTTCGATTCGTTGAAGGTGAGCTATGGCTAGTTTGAGCATTATTATGAATATTATGATGTTAGAAAATGACCTTAGGTATGCTCATGATACAATGAAATGATAGTGAAATAGGTCCAAAAAGTATTATAATACTTTTTGGACCTATTTCACTATCATTTCATTGTGTCATGAGCATAAGGTCATTTTCTAACATCATAATATTCATGACACGCAATTCAAATTGATTTATCGTTCAACGATAGGCTTGTCGCAGCAAACAAGGGACTCGGGTATCGCTTAGAAGTTAGATGTCGCAGTTCCCGAGAAGTGACGATACAGTGGCCTGAAGGCATATGACGATAAGGAAAAATGTGCACTTTGTGCTTAATGTTTTACATAACTTGATTTTATTGGAATGTGTGTTTTAGATTAGATTTAGATTAGCTTTATGAATTCATATTTTATATTTTTGCACTATTTTAGACTGTTGTTGAAAACTGAAGCCATATACGAATGTTTTTTATGACTTACCTACTTCCGTGACTAGTTCCTAGCAAGTTAGTGGCGTGCCAAATAATTAACACGGTCGAAAAAAAAATAGTACATATACCAACTCGATATCAAGTCAGTGGATTGGTAAGTTTCAAAAAACTTTCCAGGAACAACAATTTTAGCTCCATCAGACATCAGATATCAGATGATGGCACGTTTGTGACTATCAATGGATACGTCATAGGTGACTACAAAATAATTTATTGATGTTTAAAAAATGTTCAAATATGTATAAAAGCATTTTAACAAACCGAAATCAGTTATACCTAAAGCAATTACCTATGTTGTGAACCGATTCGTTTACTTGTGCATGCTTCTTCTTAAAATGAATGCAACGAATTTATCCAAACAATAAATAAACTCTCGTATCAAATATCATGGTAAACTTTTACCAAACGTACATTTGTGTTTAGAGATGTGCTCACTCACAGCTAACATTTCATATGACGTATCACGATTTGAGTGAGTCACTCATTACGTACAATTTATATCAAACACCGGTGTGTCATCCCGACTTTATGGTATGTAGTTCATAGTATTATAGGGTTCAATGACGATTTACCGGTCCGTTACCTAGGAGCGCTGCGGCCCGAAGGTTGGAACTTTGAATTATTAAAAAAAAAAAACGCCCGCCCGCCGCCAAAACACCGCAAACAAATACCGGTCTGTTACATAACGACTTGTGTATTTGGATTTAAAATGTTGTAAAATCCGTTCATCCATTTGAAACATTAAAACCGTGACAAATCTACATTGCAAGTTCAACTTTCGACTATTTTCCAATGACATTTCCCTCTCTGATCCCTATCATTTTCTCACCCAATGCCCTCACACAACTATTTTTAGGCCACCACACCACTTCCTGGCCTCTTACACCGACACTAGCTAGGGAAAACACTGTGCAGCAGCTCAGTTGCGTCTACTCACCGTTTTTACGTTGAGGCCGGCCGGAGTGCCGGGGATCGGTCAGGCCGGGTCACCGGCGCCCCGTCACCTGATGCCACTCCAGAGTGCAGAGATGTCGTCTCGCGCTATCAGGTGACTATCTTTGATGGCTTACAGTGGATGAATCAGAAACCATCGACCCCCCCCCCTTCCGTTGTGATTGCACTTGGTTGGTCAGATTGCGTATCTCTCTGTAGGAGGTACCTAGACAGTGAGTCCATTATCCCGCGCCCCGTTGAGGTCTGGCAGGTTCCATGTGCTGTTGGGGGGGGGGGGGGGGGGCAAAGGGCCCCCGTCGTATTTCCGGAATCAATAGCCGGATCGGAAAAATTCAAACGACATTCGAAAGAGCTCATCGAGATGCACAGGATTAGATGTCGATGACCTTGATATTTGACCTGTAACGTCACAGGGAGGTCAAACAAGGTCAGATCAGTCAAATTTACAATGACGAGAAGTCGGTCATAAAAATGAAATCTAGGTTTCCAAAATGAGTCTGGATATGATGTAAATGATAGGTCTGGCATGTGGATAGTCACCTGAGTGGATAATGACCTGTGACGTCACAACAGAGGTCAGCCTCGACCAATCAGAATATACATTCTTGGACGATACCGCGAAAACGAAATATTTCTATCTCGAGTTTTCAAAGGATTTCATGCACGAGGCCTTGGCCGAGTGCATGAAATTCTTTTCCTACATGCCGGGGTATGTCTTAAGCACAGCACGAGCCGGGCAGTAAAACTATGACCAAGAAACTGTCGGTGTCAAAATGCCATGTTATTTGATAGTCCGGGCAGGAAACAAAAGTTTACTGCCTGGGTTTACTGCCCAGGGCAATGACCTCTAAACTACAGTTTATCGCATTAGCCCAGAGGTATAATTGACAGGGAATGTATAATTGACATCATTATTGCATGTTGCCGCGTAAAAATAGAAAACTAACATTTTTGGTAAAAAATATCTGCTCTGCTTATCAAGGGTTTTGAAATATTTTGTATTGGTTACAAAGCCGAAATTATGGTAGGTAAGATATGCGCCTATTAATCGAAATCCGTTATCGCTTGTTGTCTTATCTTCGTTTGATGTCCACTGATACCTTGGGCCTAATTTATTGCATTATCATTTGACAGTTGTAGTCCTTTCCTCGAAACAAACATGTAAAATATGGAAAATATAATGTATTTCACGAAAGTTTAGCCATTAGGGCATCAACAAAGTACGATTACATAAATAAAGAAAAGATTCTTTCAAGAGCACTGGAAAATTCACGTTTATTCACTAGGAATATTATATCTTCTTCTTGTTCTTATGTCGTGGCAAATTATTCATGCATTATGTTTCTTGGATATCCAGTTGTGCCATTCTGAGTTGATATTTTCAGACGCGATTCTTTTTGAAGTAAGGTGTTTTGATGCATATTCTTCTATAAATTTCCTTTAAAGCTTTATCCACAGCAGTACCGCAATCACTGTTAGGAAATTATGGACAAAACAATTGTATAAAAGTGTTACCAAAACCTGTCAAAACTACTTAGCAGGTATGCGGCATGTAGGAAAAATCTTACTGACCTCAGCCGTACGAGGTCTCTAAAATTAAATCTCTAAACCGGGCCCGTCGGCCCGGTCAGTAATATATATGGAAACTCGAGATAGAAATATTTCGTCGCGGTAGAGTCCTAGATATTATTTCCTGTATGTTTCTTAATATCGTTCCTTATCTTCTTGAAAATTTCAAAGGATTTCATGCGCGAGGCCTTGGCCGAGTGCATGAAATTCTTTGAAAACTCGAGATAGAAATATTTCGTCGCGGTAGAGTCCTAGATATTATTTCCTGTATGTTTCTTAACCCGCGCCCCCCCCTGTCCTTTTCGGTCGACATCTCCTAAACGGCTGGAGATATCGCCACCAAACTTTCAGGACCCCTCCGGGCATCAATTTTACACATTGTGACCAAAAATTTTTCCAGAGGCTATGATAGGTTGGCCATAAATGACGTCAGAATGACGTCATGTTCTGTCGTTTTAGACCGAAAAAAGACCTTCGCGAGAAGACCTGTCAGGCCTACAACTTTGAAGATACAGAAAAATGATCAAGACATTAAGGGTGTAGAATTGACAGGGCTACAAAATTGCTATCTCGGATTTTTGAAATTTTTGAGTTTTGACCCCCAAAAATCAAAAAACATTTTTTTGGATATATTAGCCAAAAACTCCAAAAAGTTTTTTGAGTTTCGAAAAAACCGGAATATATGTGATAGTACCTACTCTGTTCTATCGACATACCAAATTTCAGATCGATACCTCGTTTTTTGGCCAAGTTATAGCGAAAAAACTTCAAAAATGATGACGTCAAATTTTCAAACTCAATTTTTGGCACTTCTAGACCTCGTAGAGCAAAACAAAGACCACCATTAGACTCCCCGTGACGAGCTGCATCGAATCGATACCCATTTTATGCAAAAATATCAACTTTCAAATTTGACCTAATTTGACCTGACCTTGACCTGACCTTCACCAAAACGTGACCTAGGCTGGCCCCAAAGGCTGCCTAACCCACATAAGCACATTTGTCATGTAAAATGGACCATAAAACATGTATCACACGACACTTTCATATTGTGACCCCGGTGACCTGACCTCGCTGTGACCTGACCTGGTATCAGTGACCTCAGATAGCAAAGTATGTGTTTGACGAACAATGTAACATCGATGGTTTTCAATAAATTACCAATTTACTCGATTTCACAACGCATTTCTTGAAATGCCTGTGAACGGTGAAAATCTGACCTTTGACCTGACCTGTGACGTCATCGATTTGACCTAGGTCAATGAAATTTGGTCACAAGGTAGTTCCCGGGTGGGGCTATCGAACGCCGTTTGAATTTTGAAAATCGGCCGGTAACTTTCCGAGATCTTAGGGGGGGGGCCGAAACGCCCCCCCCCCCCTACGGGTGGTAGGGTCCGCCGGTAGCCCTACGGGGCGCGGGTTAATACCCGAAGGTTGTTTCTTCATTAGAGGGCGGGCGCGCGATGCGGGCGGTTTTATTTTTTGCGGCGTTTGCGGTAGGAGGCGGTCGTTTTTTTGCGGCGTTTGCGGTTGGCGGCGGGCGGGCGCGACATGCAGGCGGTTTTCATTTTTTGCGGCGTTTGCGGTGTTGTTTGCGGTTGGAGGCGGTCGTTTTTTAATTTTTGTGTTTGCGGTGTTTGCGTTCGGCGGCGGGCGGGCGTTTTTTTAGGCGTTTGCGGTTGGCGGTTAGGGTGCGTGCGACAGGGACCGCGGATTCAAATTTTCGTAGGGTGTGCAAGATGTGGCGATTGGGCCCCCCACCCATGTCGGGGCCCCTTCCAAAAAGCCAACGCCACGACTGCTCTGGTAGGTTTCTAAGGGTCACCGTATCGATCTGGGTCCTCGTGCATCGATTTGGGTCCGAGCTAGCAAGGGTGGAGAATTAGGGGTTTTCGGGGTGCTCGAGCACCCCCTGAAATTCAGAAGTCATCATATAATAGTGCTCCAGGTCCAGGGGTGCTTAAATTACGTCTGCGACACAAACTGTTTTGCGTAAGTCGCGAGGAGCTGCTGAAAAAACGTACCTATATGTGCGTTTCTACGCAAGAATTCGACGCTTCTATTCGCCAGATGCTAGAAAAGCACCCCCTGGGATTATGACAATTCTCCGCCCCTGCGAGCTAGTGAGGGTCATCAGAAGCTTCCTTTAGCCCTGCGACTTTAGAGGGTGGTGTGAGACCTCCTAAAAAAGTGAGGGCACTCAGAGGCTTGCATAGGGCTCTTCCTCAAAGGTCAGCCTTGGCCGAATGGCGTTCCTCAAACTGGTGTAGGTCGCTGATATTATTGTGTGGGGCTCTCAAGTATTGGGATGGGACCCTCAACTATCAGCTCGGGGCCCTCAGGAGCCGGCAAGGGCTCCGCTGCGGCATGCATGAGCCATCCGATCTCAGAGGCCGATGTGAGATCCTAAATAGGAGCTGAGTGCACTTAAAAAACCTGCGTAGGATCCTTAGAGATCAGCTTTGACCAGACGTCGTTCGTGGACACTCTTAGAAACTGACTTCGAGGCTGCCTCAGATACTTTTGTCGGCCGGCCCTGTCACATCAGCCTGGGGATCTCAGGCATCGGCCTGGGCCCTCGAGAGCCGGTTAGGGCCCTCGGAAATTGGCATGGTACCCTGAGATAACTGTGTGGGCCCTCGGGTAACGGCTTGGGACCCTCCAGCATCGGCCTGAGGCCCCCGGGCATTGGCCAAAGGCCCTTGGATATCGGTCTGGGGCCCCTCAAGAGCCGGTGAGGGCCTTCAGAAACTGGGGTGGGGCCCTGAGATAACTGTGTGGGCTTTCAGGTACCGATGCGGGGCCCTCAGGCATCGGCCCCAAGAGGAGGTTAAGGGGAGCAGGGGGCACGGGCCCTCAAGAGCCGGTTAGGGCCCCCAGAAACTGGCGTGGATCTCTGAGCTAGCTGTGTAGGTACTCAGATACTGCCGTGGGGCCTTGAGACATCGACTTGGGACCCTCGGGCATCGGCCTGGGGCCCTCAAGAGCCGGTGGGAGCGCTAAAAAATGTTGTGGGCCCTGAGATAGCCTCTGAGATAACACTGGTACCTGTTTAGGCCTTCAAGCACCGCGGTGCGGGGCCATCAGGCTCGGGCTGGGGCCCTCGAGCGTCGGCTAGGGGGACACTCAAGCGCCAGTAAGGGCCATCAGCACCCCGCATGGGCCCCCACAACGAATTGTGGGTGTGCAAAAATAGGTGTTTGCACATCCTCGGGATTTTCAGGGTGTGCAATTGCACACCCTGCCCCCCGGAATCCGCGGTCCCTGGCGTGCGATGCGGACGTCGTTTTACGGCGTTTTTTTTTTTGTTTTTGTTTTGTGGTTTGCGGCGGTTGGGCGGTTGTTTTTTGTTTTTTTTTTGTTTCTTTTTGCGACGTTTGCGTTCGCGTTTAAAGCGTGAGTTTTGCGCGTTTTGCGGTATTTGCGTTCGTCGGTGGGCGGCCGTTTTTCACAATTAAAGTCCCAACCTTCGGATCCGCAGCGCTACTCGAAAAGCGCTGCC